TATGGGTGTAGTGTGGGTGAAGAGACTGTGGATGTGGGGTGTGAGCACCCAGTGAGAGTGGGTGTAGTGTGTGTGAGGAGACAGTGTAGGCGTGGGGTGTGAGCACACAGTGAGAGTGGGTATAATGTGTGTGAGGTGACTGTGGGTGTTGGGTGTGAGCACAGTGTGTATGGGTGTAGTGTGGGTGAAGAGACTGTGGATGTGGGGTGTGAGCACCCAGTGAGAGTGGGTGTAGTGTGTGTGAGGAGACAGTGTAGGCGTGGGGTGTGAGCACACAGTGAGAGTGGGTATAATGTGTGTGAGGTGACTGTGGGTGTTGGGTGTGAGCACAGTGTGTATGGGTGTAGTGTGGGTGAAGAGACTGTGGATGTGGGGTGTGAGCACCCAGTGAGAGTGGGTGTAGTGTGTGTGAGGAGACAGTGTAGGCGTGGGGTGTGAGCACACAGTGAGAGTGGGTATAATGTGTGTGAGGTGACTGTGGGTGTTGGGTGTGAGCACAGTGTGTATGGGTGTAGTGTGGGTGAAGAGACTGTGGATGTGGGGTGTGAGCACCCAGTGAGAGTGGGTGTAGTGTGTGTGAGGAGACAGTGTAGGCGTGGGGTGTGAGCACACAGTGAGAGTGGGTATAATGTGTGTGAGGTGACTGTGGGTGTTGGGTGTGAGCACAGTGTGTATGGGTGTAGTGTGGGTGAAGAGACTGTGGATGTGGGGTGTGAGCACCCAGTGAGAGTGGGTGTAGTGTGTGTGAGGAGACAGTGTAGGCGTGGGGTGTGAGCACACAGTGAGTGTGGGTATAATGTGTGTGAGGTGACTGTGGGTGTTGGGTGTGAGCACAGTGTGTATGGGTGTAGTGTGGGTGAAGAGACTGTGGATGTGGGGTGTGAGCACCCAGTGAGAGTGGGTGTAGTGTGTGTGAGGAGACAGTGTAGGCGTGGGGTGTGAGCACACAGTGAGAGTGGGTATAATGTGTGTGAGGTGACTGTGGGTGTTGGGTGTGAGCACAGTGTGTATGGGTGTAGTGTGGGTGAAGAGACTGTGGATGTGGGGTGTGAGCACCCAGTGAGTGTGGGTGTAGTGTGTGTGAGGAGACAGTGTAGGCGTGGGGTGTGAGCACACAGTGAGTGTGTGTGTAATGTGTGTGAGGAAATAGTGTGGGAGTGGGGTGTGAGCACACTGTGGGTGTAGAGTATATGAAGAGGCAGTGTGGGCGTGGGGTGTGAGCACCCAGTGAGAGTGGGTGTAGTGTGTGTGAGGAGACAGTGTAGGCGTGGGGTGTGAGCACCCAGTGAGAGTGGGTATAATGTGTGTGAGGTGACTGTGGGTGTTGGGTGTGAGCACAGTGTGTATGGGTGTAGTGTGGGTGAAGAGACTGTGGATGTGGGGTGTGAGCACCCAGTGAGTGTGGGTGTAGTGTGTGTGAGGAGACAGTGTAGGCGTGGGGTGTGAGCACACAGTGAGAGTGGGTATAATGTGTGTGAGGTGACTGTGGGTGTTGGGTGTGAGCACAGTGTGTATGGGTGTAGTGTGGGTGAAGAGACTGTGGATGTGGGGTGTGAGCACCCAGTGAGAGTGGGTGTAGTGTGTGTGAGGAGACAGTGTAGGCGTGGGGTGTGAGCACACAGTGAGAGTGGGTATAATGTGTGTGAGGTGACTGTGGGTGTTGGGTGTGAGCACAGTGTGTATGGGTGTAGTGTGGGTGAAGAGACTGTGGATGTGGGGTGTGAGCACCCAGTGAGTGTGGGTGTAGTGTGTGTGAGGAGACAGTGTAGGCGTGGGGTGTGAGCACACAGTGAGTGTGTGTGTAATGTGTGTGAGGAAATAGTGTGGGAGTGGGGTGTGAGCACACTGTGGGTGTAGAGTATATGAAGAGGCAGTGTGGGCGTGGGGTGTGAGCACCCAGTGAGAGTGGGTGTAGTGTGTGTGAGGAGACAGTGTAGGCGTGGGGTGTGAGCACCCAGTGAGAGTGGGTATAATGTGTGTGAGGTGACTGTGGGTGTTGGGTGTGAGCACAGTGTGTATGGGTGTAGTGTGGGTGAAGAGACTGTGGATGTGGGGTGTGAGCACCCAGTGAGTGTGGGTGTAGTGTGTGTGAGGAGACAGTGTAGGCGTGGGGTGTGAGCACACAGTGAGAGTGGGTATAATGTGTGTGAGGTGACTGTGGGTGTTGGGTGTGAGCACACAGTGAGTGTGGGTGTGGTGTGTGTGAAGAGGCAGTATAGGTATGGGGTGTGTGAGGGGACAGTGTGAGTGTGGGATGTGAGAACACAGTGAGTGTGGGTGTAATGTGTGTGAGGAGACAGTGTTGGTGTGGGGTGTGAGCCCACGGTGCATGTGGGTGTAATGTGTGTGAGGAGACAGTGTCGGTGTGAGAACACAGTGAATGTGAGTGTAATATGTGTGAGGAGGCTGTGTGGGTGTGGATGTGAGCGCACAGTGAGTGTGAGTATACTGAGTGTGAAGTGGCAGTTGGGTGTCTGTATTGCTGATGCAGTGAGTGTTGCCGTGATGCGTGCTATTAGGTCTTGGGTACGGCTGTGAGTGTGTAAGGATTTTCACTATGATGTGTGTGCGGAGACTCAGGAGGCCTGAGTGAAGGGTTGGGACTTGGGTAGTGTGCTTGCTCTGTGAGGACGCAGGGACGGGGTCCGGTGTCTGCGAGCAGGAGTGTGCTGTGCCGAGGCTGTGTGCACCAGGTGCAGATGTGTTCTGCCTGAATAGTGAATGCTGTTTGACCGGAGTGCACTCACCCATGTAGCACCCCTCCAGCCTGCATTGCTGTCTTTCTGACTGTGTGAGATGGTGAAGCCATCTCTGGTTTTTTGATGGTAATGGACCATCTCCTCCAAGGAGTCCTCTATCCTCATCTGTCCCCAGAGCTTTCTCTGGGATTCGGTTGGCCAGATGCTCAAGTTAATGGCTCAATGTATTTACTTCCCTTTTCCCCTGTATAAAGCAGAGGCGCTAAGGCAGGGTGTTTTACTCCTCTTATGTTGAGGTCTAGGGACATTCTGTATTCCAAGGGCTTTGAGTGTTGTCTTCTCTTAGTGCTATCAACCCTCAAGAGGTGAGAGCTGGACTCTTGGGTTCAAAAATTCATCCGTGTTTAGGAATCTGTATTTTTCCATTCAGCTTGGTCCCTTACAGTCATGATTCACATGAATTATTTTTTGCTGCTGGCAACTGTTCTCCACGGGTGTTTTGTCTTTAAAGGTTAAACTGGGAGTGTTGATGCTTGTGAAATCTTTTTGTTTCCCTTTCTGAACTGGAAAGAAGGGAACGTAATTTAATACTACATTTGAATGTTATTTTCATGGCCAGTTTTGGGATGGGGAAGGGAAGCCTTGCTTATTTCTTAAATTGCTGTTTACTTGACAGCTGCCCTGCTTCTTGAGGACACAGGATCCCAAAGCACGCACTGGCCCTATTCGGTGGTCCCCGAGCAGGGTGACCATGGAACTTTCCAGAGTTTCCTCTGCCTCAGACACAGTGATGCTGACCCCTTTTCCTGTCCTGGCTTTTCCTCCAGATCTGTTCCCCTCAAGCCAGTTACCTTCCTTTCTGCTTTATCTTTTTGGCTTTTTTTTTTCCACAACAAAAGCATTTTTCATTTAATTGCTCTCTGTGATCTTGGGTTTGTGGGTCCTAGAAAGATGTTAACAGCATTGGGCCCGGTCCTGTCCTGCTCCTCTGGGACTGCTGTTTAATGTGTTGCTTTTCACTGTCTGAAAGGACTAATGTCACCTGCAGTGGCCATGAAATCAGGAGATTGATTTCATATTTTAAATTAATTTATCCTGATTTCAGGGCCTTTGACTTACTATGCTATTCTGACCTCAGAATGCTGTATAAATTCTTAGATCTGACCCTAAAACAGTGTGACTCGGGAGCTTCGGGATTGTCTCTTGGAATTTGAGTTTTGGGAAGAATAATGGCCTAGACTGGGGGATTCAGGGGTCGTTTTTACAGTGGTGACTGTACCCAGCCTGTCCTATGAACCAGCCACAGTCAAGGTCCTGTGAATGGTGACCGCTGTCAGGAGCCAAGACCCCTCCAGTCCTTTGTTCTTTGCTAATGCTAGCCATACCTGGGTATTTGTATTTTTCGAAGACATCAGTTTCTTTAGATATCCTAGAAAGGCTTATTTTTGTCTTATAGCTTGAATTTGTAATCTTTTTTTGTAGAGAAAAATGACTCCAGTGTGAATCTTGTTTGCTCTGGAGTCTGCTTAATTCTGGGGAATTTCCTCCGTGGAAAATGCTCACTTTACCCACTAGGTGACACTGCAGTGTCTTCAGTGGTGTCAGTCAGCAGGAGATTGCTGGAAACCATGTGTGCCATGCACGCATGTGTGTGAGCCATAGGTCTGTGCTTTCCATACATAGGTGATGAAAAACAAACCCAGAGAATAACGCGAGTCTCTGAAATGCAGGCGTAGCAGATGCAGAGGTGTTTTTCAACTTTAAATGACATGAGTTTTTTTAACCGCCTACATTCTTAACCTCATTGCCGGCTCTTTACAAACAAATAAAAAATGAATAAAATCTATTCCTCCACCTTCCACAAGCTTCTTGTTTTTTTGTAATTGTGGAATAATGTTAGATAAGGACTGCTAATAGTATTTGAACAAGACTGGGACTTTTTTATGCGTAACACACACGAGGCATATAATCTAGTGTTGGGAACATGAAATTCAGTTGGTTAAGCCAGTTCATTATTGTGCATAAGTGAGTTTGTTTTAATGCTATGATGTTTTTTTGCTCTAGTTATAGTTTGTAATTTGAAGTTTAAAAGATAATAATGTAAGTGTGCTAACAGGGAAGTATATTTTGTACCTATAAGGCTAAAGGCACCATTTAAAATACTTTAAAGGCCTTTGTAGGTTTCTTTTACCTACTATTTAAAAGAAAACTTTTTATCAACAAGCCCCAACATACAAGTAAAACTTATCTCTGTGTATCCTAAACCAGTTTTCTAACATGGTATCTTGAAATTTCCAATAGGTTGTAAGAAGATATATTCTGGGTTCTATTGTTGAAAGTGAAAAAAACTACGTAGATGCTCTTAAGAGGATTTTGGAGGTACCTAAATGTCATACTATGTGATATCTACATTTCTGTTTCTGTTTTTGTGCATATATAACTTTGTTATAGGTTTTACATGCATGTATGTAAAATAAAATAAAACATGAAAATGTGAAGAGTTTTGTCTGTGCTGGGCACCGAAGCCAGTGACCTACTTTGAACTAAGTCTCACTCACCACAGTTGACCCTTACGTGGTCTTTTACTTCCCTTTAACATGCCTGGCCCAGCAATACGAGAAGCCGCTGTCTGAGCTGGAGCCTCGGATCCTGAGCCAGAGGAAGCTGAAGATGGTGTTCTACCGCATCAAGGAGATCCTGCAGTGCCATTCCCTGTTCCAGATTGCGCTGGCCAGCCGTGTGGCCGAGTGGGATGCTGTGGAGACCATAGGCGATGTCTTCGTGGCTTCGGTAACTCAGCTGGCCTGCCCAGTGGTCTCCATATACATGTCATCTTCCCCCTAGGCTGATGTTTAGTGTGCTGTGGGGCCCTTTGTGGTCTTCACTAGGACAAGGGCTGCTTCCCCAGGGCACTGGTGAGCCCTTAGGAGGTGTCCAGAGCCACTTTCGAGGGAGGCTAAGGGAAACATGCAGGAGGATGACAAAGATATATTCAGAAAGATGTCCAGGTGCACACCTTGTCAAGTCCTGGATGCAAAGGTAGACAGGCTGGTAATGCTTTTCTTGATGAACAAGGGCTCTGCTTGCTTAGTGGTTCTGTGAAATTGTACATCAGCCCCTCATCTGGGCCTAGTATCCTGGCCTAGTCCGTGTGCAGAGTTCTCCATGTGCAGGAACAATAGAAGAGTGGGCAATTCCTGGATGTCTCCCTCGTTGCTGTGTAGGAGACACAGGAACCCAGTGTTGGGACAGCTCTCTCCAGTGCTCTCTGGCACGAGAAGCAGCTGCCTGGAAACTACCGTGACAAGTTTGTGTTTGCCAGTTCTGAGTCCTTTTATCTCTGCTCCTTGTGAAGGCCTGTGCTGCATGTGTGCTAGGTTTCTGCTAGGGTATAGGAGGTTGTCGTTTACCAATCAGTGTCTGTAATTGTGTAGGATAACACCGTTGAGGGGTGTTAGCGTGCACTTTTTTAAGTGTTCATGTACTTAAATGAATGCTATGATAATGAAAACGAAAACTTTGTGTAATTATGTGCTTGATGCAGGATATAAGTTTGTAGGCTGCTTTGAAGCTAACAAGGGAACAGTTCCTTACTAGTAAGACTATTTGCATAATGCCCTTTATGGATCCTTGTGACAAACAAGAAGACAAATACTGGTTTTTCATTTGCTTTTTACATTTTCTGCCTATGCTATACAGTAACTTCACATTTACCTTGGAAATTTTTGGGAGTGCATATATAATATTCAGGATTGAACCCAGGGCCTTTGCACTGAGCTACATCTGCAACCCCTTTTTATTTTTATGTTGAGACAGGGTTTTATCAAGTTGCCCAGGCTGGTTTAAACTTGCAATTAACCCTCTGGCCTCAGGCTCACGGAGTGCTGGGATCACAGGGATGCGTTACCACACCTGACTAGATACACGTTTGAGAATGGAAAAAAACTTTTTTAAAAACCGAGATATGGGTGAAAGCAGGACTGGTCAGTGGCAGCCACATCAAACTGGCCACAGGACAGAGTCCCGGCCAGCGTGCAGGAAGCAGAAGTCAGCCACAGAGGGGAGCTGACCCGGGCGAAGGAAGGCAGGGATGGAGAGGGCCAGGGCAGGTTGCAGACCCTCCGAGTCAGTGAGAGGAGTGCTTGGCTTCTGGGTCACTTCCTTCTCCGTTCCCTGGGCAGTTTTCCAAGTCCATGGTGCTGGATGCGTACAGCGAGTATGTGAACAACTTCAGCACCGCCGTGGCCATCCTCAAGAAGACCTGTGCCACGAAGCCCGCTTTTCTTGAGTTTTTAAAGGTAAGCCCCGCTTCTCGCTGGCTTCTCATGCCCCCTCGTAGTGAGCTCCCGGTCCGAGTACCTTACAGGGAGGCCATGCCCGCTGGGTGTCTGAGGCTTGCTGTTGTCTCGCATGATCTTGGTACGATGGGTGAGCTGCACCTGCATATTGGTGTCCACTGACAATGCAGATGAATTTTAAGCCCTAATGAAGCTTTTTGAAAGCTTTGCCCATCCGTCAAAGTATATGCGTCTTTGCCCATCCGTTAAAGTATATGCGGAGGGGGACTGGCAGAGAGAAAGTGAAGATCCACCCCAGATCTGCTGGGCTGCCTGTCCCAGCACCATTTGGGAATGGAGGAAGCTCCACATCTACGATCCGTGTTGGAAAGTGACCCCTTGGTCAGAGCAGCATGCAGAGGCCTGGAGAGACAATCCTTAGCCTTGCACCCTTGTTCCTTTCCCCTTGGCCCTCAAGTAGGAGCCCTGTGGTGGACCTTTATTTCCCTGGGAGTCACAGACAGAGCCGGAGGCCTGATGGCGTGGCAGCAGCAGCATAGGAGGAGGTGCAGGAGGAGCCACCTTGGGAGACTGGCTGCCCATTCTAGAACCCTGGAGCAGAGTGTTTTCCTGGCTGGGGCTATGCTCTTGGAAACTCTGCTGCCCAGCAAGGATCTCACATCTGGGTGCCTGCCAGCAGCAGTGTTGTATTTCAGCTGTGATATTTTCCATCCCCTTTCTTATTAACACAGTGGTCCCTGCTGCTCCTGGACCAAGATTAAGACCCAGCCCAGCCTGGGGGACATGGTCTTGTGCCCTTTAGCTGTCACCAGAAAACACGGCCAAGCAGCAGATTTTCTTTCTCAAGGGTTGGCCAGGGCCTTGCTGAGGGTAGGGACTGCAGTGTGGTGCCCACCACAGTCCCTAGTGCCAGCAGCTGGGGGCCAGGGCCCGGCTATGCCACATAGGGTGGGGACCGCTCCAGAGCTCTGGGGAGCCTGTGACAGTGGGCTCTCCTCACCCCTGCTGACGTTTCTTCATCCCAAGCTGGGGACGCGTGTGGCGAGGGCTGTGCCTGCCTGCAGTGAGCAGTCTTCTTTCCCATAGCAGAGCCAGGAGGCGAGTCCCGACCGTGTCACGCTCTACAGCCTGATGATGAAGCCCATCCAACGGTTCCCACAGTTCATCCTCCTGCTGCAGGTGAGGCGCGGACTTCCCCCGGAGGAATGCAGGCCTCAGTGAGGCTGACCCTGTCCCCTGGCGGAGCTGGCAGTGCCGTCACAGGGATGGTGGGACAGGGTCATGGGTAGCTCCCAAGCTGTTGGCCCCTTCCCAGACGGGCGAGTGTGGGGTCCAGAATTATATGGAAACTACGAGCGCCTTGTGCCAGGGGGTTGAGCAGGTGTGGAAAACCAGGAACAGGTTCACCAAACAATCCCGCCTAGCTGTCCCTCCCTAACTCTGGGGCAGGACCAGCCCAGCAGAGCCTGCTGCTCTGTGTCCTGAGCCTCAGCTCTGCAGTTGCCCTCTGTAATGCTCTGACCCTATGGCACACCTCCAGGACCTGTTGGTGCTACCCGATGTATTTGAAGCTCGTGTGTGTCGAGTGGGTAGAGACTGTGAGGTTGCTGGCTGGGTGTAGAGCAGTGTGTGTTTCCTGTTGAGCTGGAAACCTGGGTGATCTGGGGAGCACTCTCCTGCTGGGCAGCCCTGCAGGATGTGGGCCACATTCCAGTGTGAGGGAGAAGGATTCAGGCTGGGCTGGCATCATGTCACAGTGCCGTGCGAGAGCAGCTGTGTGAAGACACAACTCCCTGCACTGCTTTTAAAGTGGTGGCAGCTCCGCCCCTGCCTTCCAGGGCCCTGTGTGGTTTCTGCCTGGCCTCCCATGACATCGCTTGCTTTCCTGGTCTTCAGAGGTAGAGGGAGAAGTCTCCGCTCCCTGCTCTGGCATGTTTTTTGAATACGTGTTTGCAGCAGTTTTGGGTTCACAGCAAACTGAGAGGGAAGCTGCCTCTCCCAACCTGCACAGGTGGCTTTGCCAGTGTCTCCTGGGGCAGTGGGTTTGTCACCGTGACATCCTGCACTGCCATGGTGTCATCTCCTGTGTGCACATTGCTCACATGAGGGTGGCTCAGTGCTGAACGTTGGTACCCATCCCTGCAGAACACCTTGGGGACTCTGTGAGCGGGCTCCAGACCAGGGAGGCACTTTACTTCCTAGTGCACATGTGTTCCCTGCCACATTTGCACTGCACCATGGCTTGTTTAATGTGCAGAGCATTGTGTCTGAAAAGCAGTCTTCCACTCCAAGGGCAACTTCTCTGCTGAGGTCTGTGTCCTGTTCTCCAGTTTCATTACTGACCCCAGGTCCCTGCTGTGTGCACATACCTGCAGTCCTTCCTCCCCTGAGGTCTGAGCCCCAAAATTTCTTCAGGGGGGTCGGTGCTGGGGACGATGCTTCCACTCTCTATCAGTGCCAGTGTTGCACCCTCTCACAGGGCTCTGGAGTAGCACCTAGGGTGTGAATCCCTCCTGAAGGTTTTTTGTTTGCTTTGCCTGGGTGCACAGAGCAGTTGGTGTTAGTGGTGGCAGTAGCTTTAGGAGAAGTCACGTTGGGTGTCAGAACCACTGTCTAACTGGGCTGCAGAGCTCCATTAGAGCCCACGTCACCGTGGGCATTGTCATCTCACGGGAGTGTTTTAGAAAGGGCCTCTTTGTGCTCCCATCAGCGATGCCCCTCAGGGGGCACTGCTCTGCAGAGAGGCTGCCGGGCTCTCAGCCCACTGTGCCCAGCTCCCTTGTGCCGGCCGCTGGCCCCCACAGTACCTGACAATGCCACCTTCTTTGCTGTCCCATGCTGTAGCCAGAGGCATGCAAGTGCTAAGCGCCCCTTCTGCCTATTGCCCCCAGGACATGCTGAAGAACACCCCCAGAGGACACCCCGACAGGCTGCCCCTTCAGATGGCATTGACAGAACTCGAAACCTTGGCAGAGAAGTTAAACGAAAGAAAAAGAGATGCTGATCAGCGCTGTGAAATCAAACACATTGCGAAAGCCATAAATGAAAGATACCTGAACAAGGTGGAGAGAGGTTTTTCCGGTTCTCTGCTGGACTTGTTACTGTGTCTTGTTAAATACATGGGATCATTCCTAGCCACTGTGTCTTAGCCAAGAGGCCCAGCCAGGCCGGGCAGGGCACTGCCAACAGGTGGTAGAAGGCGGGGGTGGTGTGGAAGCTCAGCCGTTGGCAGTGCATGTCCTTTGCAGGGGTTCATAGATTCATGAACTCCTGGGCAGTTAGAGCAGCTCTTTCTTCCAGTACTGGGAGCTGAATGCAGGGCCTTGGCGATGAGCTACATCCCTCCCCCTTTTTATTTTTGTTTGCTTTATTTTGAGACAGAGTCTTGTGAAGTTGTCCATACTGGACTCACACTGTGCTCCTGCCTCAACCTCCCCGAGTGCTAAGCTACAGCTGTGCGCAGGAACACCCCTTTCAGCTGAAGTTTATTCTCAGCACATTGTGTTCCCCTTGGCTAGTGACCTGGAGCGAGCTGTGCTGGTCTCCACACTAACTATAGAGAACACTATAGGCACCAGGCTGCATGATCTGTGCTATGCACTGACCCGCGTGGCTTCCCGTGCCTACTTCCATGTGCTATGATAAGTAAATGTGTGTGATATTCAGGGCTGCTAAAATCACATTTTATTCTCAGTCAGGGTGATTTCCTATCAGCTCATGACATTCAATAATTTCAGCTGATAGTTTTAAGAAGTACAGGTTAAGTGGCAGGCACTGGGATTCCCTGATGACATACGCAGGGATTTTTGAGTGTGGGATTGTAGCCTATGTGTCTGTACATGGAGAGGTGGGAGCGTGACACAGGTCACACTTGCCCAGCTGTCCTGGGCCAGCAGGAGCCCAGGCTGTCAGGCTATGGCCGTAGTGCTGAGCCAGGCTGTGCTGTGGATTTTGGTCACAGGGTGGCAGGAGACGCTGGGCTCCCTGTTGGCCTTGGTTACAGATGTGACTTGGCCATATCCTCCCATGTAGGGTGTGGAGTCCTCACAGGGAGCAGCAGGACAGATGAGATGGGAGGGTTTGAGCAAGTTAATCCAGGATAACCGCCCTCCCCGCTTGGGTGGGTGTGGGTGCAGCTGGGGGTGACTGCATGGTGAGCTGTGGTGGATGGAAGGAGGTGAGGTCTCAGCGGAGGGCAGCAGTGTCTGGCCCTGGGGTTGGGTCTGTGTGGAGCTGGGTATCTCCCCTGTTCAGAGGGACTGTGAGCATTGACGACTGAACACAGTTTAAGTCACGTGCCAACCGGGTGTGGTGGTGTTCACCTGCAATTCCAGCACTCAGTAGGCTGAGGCAGGAGGATTGTGAGTTCCAGCTCAGCCTGGGCTACACAGTGAGACTGTCTCAAAAGACCACAGAAAGAGAAGGTTGGGAGCCCAGGCCTCCTTGACAAGTGGGCAGGAGGATGAGTTTCCTGGTGCCGGGAAACCTGTCTTCTGTGAACATGGGCCTTGGCCCCTGAGGTTCTGGGAGCACCCTTGTAACTGCAGCATTCCATATACTCAGCTCCTCAGCTGTGGGAGCCGCTACCTCATCCGCTCTGATGATATGATTGAGACGGTGTACAATGACCGAGGGGAGATCACCAAGACCAAGGAGCGCCGGCTCTTCATGCTGAACGACGTGCTCATGTGCGCCACCATCAGCTCCCGGTCAGAGCGCATGTGTGCATGCATGCGTGCGTGTGTGTGTGTGTGTGTGTGTGTGTGTGTGTGTGTGTGCATTCACAGGCGTGTGTTTGGGGCAGGGGACTGACCACCCTCTCACTCAGGCTGTGCAGTCTGAGTCTTGTGACAGGATGCCTTAGAGCGCGTGGCTAAAACTGGGGGATTCGGCATCTCCAAGTGCCTGCAGGTGGAATTAGATGAACCCGTTCTGCCCACAGGGGCTGAGGTTCTCTACCACCTCCTGAGCTAGTCTTCAGGTCCTTCAGTGAAGAATCCTGTTGGTTTGGTTATGGCTTTGGCCTGGCTGCTGTAGAACTAATTTCTGTGACATCCCCGTGTCCCCAGCACCCCGGGCCTTTGTGCAGACAAAAGCCGGTGGCACCCAGCTTTGGAGATGTGCGTGTGTGTATCTGTCTTCGGGTTCCATGCTGCGATAAAAGAAGAAAATACTTAGATCATGTTTTCCTGTTTAATTTTTATACTCTCAGTAAGTTGTGTAGTCATGAAGTGCAGTGACTTAATTCTTCCCAGCGGTAGGAACAGAACTGTGTGGGATAAGGAAGGAACTCAGGGTTAGCACCTGTGCAGCATGCGAGGTCTTCACCCAGGGAGAATGCTTTCCTGCCAGCACTGCTCCCAGACATCTGCGCTTTCATGGCCAGGTTCCCCTAGAGCTCCTTCCCTTCTGGCCGCCTTGGACACAGGGACACAGCCAGCTTCTGGGGAAGTGGCTGCTGCATCCTCCCCGAAAGGGCCTCACTCTCCCATTGATGGGGCCACCAGGTCCGAGCCAGCCACAGCTGTCCAGAGAAATTCTGATGAGTTTCTCCCATGCAGTGGTGTGATGTGGTCATATTACTGTTCCCGTGATTTCATGATCTGAGGGTTTCTCCTATGGGTTGGCATGACGTGGTTCTGTAACCATTCAGGAAGTAACCTCTGGGTGGTTTCAGCCCCTCACAGGAGAGCCTCGTGGGAGCCAGCCAGCGGTACCTGCTCAAGTGGAGTGTTCCCCTCGACCACGTGGAAGTGATCGAGTATGGCAGTGGCCCCAGGGGAGGGGAGCATGGCCGGCACCCTGCCATGCACCCGCCAGAGAGCCTGGCTGTGTCTGCTAATGCCAAGCCATGTAAGTGATGTGTCCACTGGCACTGCCACACCGTGTCACATGCCCTGATTCCTCACCTCAGAGCCTAATGGGAGGTCTGTCGCATAGTGTGTCAGGGCCTTTGGTGCTGTCTGGCTGTGGAGGCCACATACGCTGCTGATCCCGGGATGCATGTTGTGGAAGCCTGACCTCTAAAGTATATGTGGCCCCAGCTCTGCCCTCAGCTGTGAAAACCAGCTCACAGTGTTCTCCAGCGCCAGGGGGCTAGTGGCAGGAGTGGCAGGCTGCCACCTGAAAGCTCCACGCTGTAGCTGACCTCTGCTGCTGCTGCTGGATTCCTGGCCTCTGCTGTGAAGCTGGCACTTTTGTGGCTTCACAAAGCAGTGGAGGAGTAACTGGAATGCAGTGAATGAGAACTTTCAATAAACCGACTTACATATTAGGTAGCATCAGCCTTTCAGAGTAGTCTGTTGCTGACATGGGCAGAAGCAGGAAAGCAACTTTTTTTTTTTTTTTTTTTTTTTTTTTTTAGGAAAGCAACTTTTAAAACATTGATCTTTCCAGTTGAGTGTGCATATTCACCTGGTTTACAGGAACAGGCCATGGTGTTAGACCTAATTCTATGAAATCTCTTGTTTATGCTCCTCACTTGACAACCAGTCATGTAGTCCTGTAATCTGTCAAGTAGGCTGATTCTTTGTGATCATCATATTTCGATTACTAATTTCATGGATTGCTGACAGTTAAACTGAACTCCAGGTCACAGTGATGCACACCTTTATCCCACCCTCACAACTGATCAAAACACCAGACTTCCCGGATTTTCAGTACCAAACATAAGAAGCTAGGGTGGAGGTGGGAAAGGATGAGGGGTGCTGGAGGGAAGAAAAGGACAGAGAATCGATTTCCATAGTGACCCTGTTCATTAAGGTTCTATTCAAGAGGAAATTGAGTATCTTGTTCAAAGTTTTTCAGAAGCCTTTTAAGTTATTTGGAAGTATTGATTGTACTTTATGTCTTTACTTTGTGAGTGGAGATGACTTTGTGTGTTTTGTGATAGCAATCCTGAATGTGTTTGTGACTAAGATTGCCTCGTAGTATTCAAATCACCAAAGATGACTTTGATGGTGAGGTAGGTTCCAAGCACTGCATGGGGCCTTCTATTCCTCATTCTTTTATTTATGGTGTATCTTGAGTCACTTAGAGCAAGACTAGAGTCTGTTGGCAGCGTTAAAACACGTAGACCATGGAACTGGTTTCCTCTTGCTTCTGAGCCCGGCTGTCCTGAAGGTCTCCACTGGCTTCAGTGGAGTGGGGTCCCTGGCAGCACAGTGCTCACTGAGTGTTGAGAGCCATCTGTCTCTTTCTCCCTCTCAGCCAAGGCGAGCTTTGCCATCATGTCCTACACTAAGAAGAGCTCAGAACCTGCTGGCAGGCACATCCGATGGCAGACTTGGGTCACCATGTCTCTGGAAAGACACAGGCAGCTTCGTCGGGACCCCCTTCCTGGGACCTCCTCTTGTGCACTGTCTTAGCCGATGAAAGCTTTTACCACCTTCTCTAGAGACTTGCTCTGTGTTGCCAGGTTGGCCCTGCCTGGGCTTAGCCTGCCTGCTCTTTGTCTCTGATACTGATGGTTGGGCCCCAGGTTTGGTGGCAGGTACACCGTCATGTATTTGTGTGTCTTTATTCTGAGAATTAAGTAAGATACTGTGCTTAGTGAGTATAGAAAAACTTCATCTGAGTTAGTTCTCTTTGATTTTGCTGGTTTTTATGGGTTTTCCTCTGCTTTTATACCATAGCAGGTGCTCAGTAAATGTTTCTCAGATGAATGGGAAGAAAAATGCAGGCACCATTCAATGTTGCTTTTTTGTTATACCGTGTCTTTCCAGCTATGTGCTCAGCGAAGGCCTGTACCCAGTGCTGTGCTGTGTACTCTGACCCCGAATGAATTAGATGAACAAGGCATTTATAGAGCAGGCATCCTGAAGCTCAGTGTGTAATCTGGCAGACTTAGTAATACACAGATGTGGCACAGTGCCACGTATTCCGTAATAGACACAAGGACAGCTCACCTTGGCAGCTCAGAAGGAGGCAGTGTTCTCAGGGAAGATGGCTATAAAGTTAGATATTGGGGGGATCAGTAGACGAGGTTACTGTGCCCAAGCCGGAGTGTACACAGCTGAGGGTGATTGGTTTGGTGGCTGCTCCTGACTGCTGGCCTGGGAGCTCCCAGAGGAGCCAGGGATTCAGGCAGCTGAGAAACTGGACCTGGTGGCCTAGACAGTCCCTGTGGTGGTGGGGCTGGAGTTTGCTGCTGGAGTCCAGTTCCACCCAGGAACATACAGCTGGAAGCGACTGCTGTCCTGTGACCTCTGTGGCACCCTTGAAGTCTTCAGCTTTGGTTTTACAGCTGGCTGTTGTTACTGTCTTTGAAAAAAAGACATTGTGAGTGCTAGGCCTTGTAGGTGTTATTCCCCCAACTTCTTGATGTCTGATTAACAAATGCATTGTACAGTGTGATGCCATTGATGTATGTCTGTGCCGTGATGTGATCACCACAGCTGAGCCATCATACATCATTTCGCGGCTTTGGTTTATATTTGTTTTGATTTGTCTTGTTTTCAGTTTTTTTTTTTGGTTAAATGTTTAAGATATACTGTCTTAGTGGGTTTCAGGTATAAGTCGAGTCCCCATGGTGCAGATTAGATCCCCAGGATTTACTCTTCTTGGGTCAGTGTTTTATGCCCTGAAGAAACAAGAGCAGAAGGGCAGTTTCCAGGTGCCAAGGGAGATGTAGGGGCAAGTGCTGGCCATTGAACCCAGAGCCTTTGCTAAGTTGCTGAGTTGCCCAGGCTGGGCTTGAACTTTCTGTCTTGCTGCCTGAATATCCCTGAGTGCTGGGAAAACCATGCCTGGCTCTTTGCCTTTGATTTTTTCTTTGATCCATTGATTGTTGAGGAGTGTGCTATTTAATTCCATGTATTTGTAAATTTCCCAGCATTTTTGTTGCTGTTGATTTCTAGTGTCATATCATAATGGTATGCTGTGACTTTGGAGATTTCCTCTGCTTCCTGTGTGTAACTCAAAGGCTTTTGGGTCCATTGTTCAGCACACAGGGATGCTCAGTACAAGTCTGCATGCTCTGTATGGTCTACACAGGCACTTGGTCCACCGCCAGCTTCCCATGTGGGTGGCCTGTGCAGTGGCACCACCTCCTGGCAGTTCTCTTAGCTGGTGCTCCATGTGTCCGGGGCTCTGTCTCTGTGTGTACCGCCGTGTCTTCTTGATGAGTTGGCTCCATATTTCAGTGACCCTGGTGTTGCTTCTGTGTTCTTTGGGTGACCATCTGCCAGGGTATCTTTCCATCCCTTCGTCTTTCAGGCCCCTTTGCTTTTGTGGAAGGCAGATCCAGTGATGATGAACCCCTTCAGCTTTTGCCATGGTGAGGAAGTCCTTCCTTCTGAAGGATGCCTTACTGGGTATGACTCTGCATTTCGGCACTTTGAATATATGGAATATAACTGAAGAATACAAGGAGCGTTTAAATTATAAAGCTGTGTTTCTGAAAGGACACATTGCCATCACCCTGTCTCAGGATGACAACCCTGTTGCTTCCATCGCTCTTATTTCATCAGTCCTGTCACTTTTCAAAGCGCTTCTGGGGTCTCCTTCTGTGTCTTTGTGAGATGCGCTAAAAACCCTGTGACTGCTGCCGCCGAGTTCCATTCAGCAGAAAGTCAGGTTGGAAATGCAGTGTCCACATCCACCGGATTCACCAGAGCTGGCACCGTGTGACTCCTGGGGAGGCCCAGGGATTTGACCATGAAAGATCAGCGTCAAGTGCCTGAATTGAGCATGGATGGTGGAGGGGCCCTGTCCTGCCAGTGTCACCACGGAAGGCTGCCCTGGGCTTCTCCTGCTGGAAAGGGCTGTGACCCCTCCTCTGGGCTTGGGTGGGACCTGGGGTGCCCCACAGTCACCAGTGGTTCAGTGTATGTGGGCTGTGCTCCTTTGTGGGGTGATTGTCATGGTTTGGGGGTGACATGTCACCCAAGGTATGTGATGTGGGTGGCTCAGTGGCAGATGGACCTTTGGGGAGTAATGGGGTTCTGGGGCGCTGACTTCATCCCTGGATTAAACCACTAGAGGGTCCTGATTTCGATGGTAGAGTGACCTTGGAGACTCTCTGGCTCCCTGCCCCTTCCAGTATGGTTTGTTCCCCTCTTTCCCCTTCCTGGCTGCCAGGAGGCAAGTGGATTTTCTCTTTTTGCTCTTCCGTCGTGATGTCTTTGCTCTCCACAGCAGAACAGCAGTGGAACTGACCAGCCTTGAGCAGAACCTCTCAGAAGATAGGAGCCAGAGCAGACCCTGGTTCCCAGTCCCTCAGGTGCTGTGTCACTGCAGCACGGAGCTGACTAGTACAGTGGTCTGCTGGCCGGGTCCCCACTGGTGGGACCAGGCTGGCTGCATTTGTGGGCTCCTGTCATGCTATATGGTTCATTCAGGTCCTGGCGGCTGGGTAGTGGGCAGCAAGCAGGTGTGCCCAGAACAGGACTGCTGTCTGGCTCTGCAGTGACACCTTACTGTCCAGGCTCCCTGCCTAGGTGGAGCTGAAGCTCGGCCCACACTGAGGAGGAGCCATGCAGCAGGCAGCTCTCTGAGCATTCCTGACCAGGCAGGGTCATCAGGGCTCTGTGGTGCTCGCTAGCTGGAGGATCCTTGTACCATTCATTAGCTGCGCAGGTCTGAAGGGTTAAGTCTCTCTCTGGGAGCTGAATTTATTGTTTAATTTTGAGTTGTGAAAAAGGTGGGTGAAGTGAATGGTCTTTAAAATACCTTCTAGATTAAAAAGTTCTTTTAACAGATTTGTTAAAGTTTGCTAATTCTGTGTCTTGGAGGGTAGAACACAGGTCTTCAGGCTTTCTTCAGACTGTGGGGTGTGGGATGGAGCATGGGCCAGTCTCTGAGCTGTGTTTCTTTAGTTTAACATGCCCTACTGTCACGGGCTCAGTGATTCCAACAGAAAGAACTTAGGGTGTGTCCGGGACAGGTGTGAGTAGGGTTTATTGTACAAAGAGAGAGCAGAGGACGCACTCTGGCAGGGAGTGTGGGTGTTCAGAGGAGTGAGATGCATTGCTGTTTGGGACCAGGATGTTCATACTTTGCTCGAGAGGATGAAAACCCTGGGAAAAGACTGCCCATTCCCCCTAGAAAGGGGACTAGTATAGTTTTCATTTTTTTGAGAAGTGATATAAACATTCTCTGTATTCACTTAACCTTTGTTTTTTTTCTCTTAATTGGGCCAGTTTATGGCCTGTGAGGATGGGTGAGGTGTGTAACTCTGGCGAGTACTGTAGATGGGATGGGCTTTATCTCAGGGCAGGGCTGACAGGGGCATTATGGGTAAGTAGCAGATGCCCACACCGGGACTCCCCTAGGGAAAATACTGTGTGTGTCACTATGAAGCCTGGGGGACTCCAGAAGCATCTTTGTGTTCACTCATGGACATCAAAGTGTGTGCACATGTGTCAGAGTGTTAGCAGGTGAGTTGTATCCACGTTCTTTGTTACATTTTGTGTATTTATAATCTTTTACTGAATGTTTTCTTTAGATTTTTCTGGTTGAGTTTCCTCAATTCAGTACAATGTCATGTGAAAATCCTCTTTCAGCTATTGATGATGAGTTGGGTCATGTGAGCCAAAAAATTAGCAAGATAGGATGATGGAAGTACAGAATGAAGACCTTGATTCGGACGAGGAAGAAAACAGTGACTTAATAAACATGATACTAATCAAGATGGTCATGTATGCCCAAATAACACAACATTGGAACTAAGTTGGAAAACATCATGAGGTTCTTGCCAGATGTGAAGCCAACTGGATGGAAGCCAGCACTGTGATTCAAGGTTGGGAACTGTCTGTAACAAGGTTGGGGACATGCTTCGAGGTGCTGTGGAATAGCCTAAGGAGAGAGATGTGAGTAACATCCTGTATGCATCAAGAGTAGTGCTCAACAATATATTTATGTGACACCTCACCATCTGAACAGACAGTCTTCATAGCAGGACTTGTCATTCTAATCGTCAGGATTAAAGGATGCATGGAGAAGTGACAGATGTGGCATTGAGATTTGTAGAACAATAATGACAACCAAGAGATTTGATTTCCTTTAAAGTTGCCTACGTGGGCCAGGGATTTAGCTTAGCAGGCATAAGCGCCTGCCTGGCAAGTGCGAGGTCTTAAGTGTCATCCCTGGTACAGAAAGAAAGAAAGAAAGAAAGAAAGAAAGAAAGAAAGAAAGAAAGGCAGGCAGGCTGGCTACATTGTAACCACAAAAAAAACTTGGCAAGAAAGAAAAAAGTCCAACAATTTGGCTGTTCTTTGCTCATTCTTACAAGCTGTGTGTTGAACTGTCAAGCAGTTTATGCACCATCTGAGTGTGTGACAATTAGTGTACAACTTGCATCATTTATGACTGTCAAAGCTTTTGGCAATATATGCCAAATAAACTTTCTAAATATGGTATAAAATATATATGCCTGGTAGATGGGAGGACATTTTCCACCTTAAACTTAGAAATTTATCCAGAAACTCAGCCACCAGGCCTGTATTGGAACAGTAATAAATTGTATGATTGTTCCACCTGTTTCAAAAGATAGCCCTGACGTCACATTTGACAATTGGCTCCCAAGTCACCCATTGCTACTACCTTTGCTAACAGACAGCCGGCTGCTGAGCATGGCGCATACACCTGTAATCCCAGCACGTGGGAGGGTGAAGCAGGTGGATTCCTACAAGTGCAGGGCCAGCCTGGGCTGCATAGTGAGTTCAAGGCCAGCCTCAACTACATAGCAAGACCTTGTCTCAGGTAAGTAGGTAGACAGACAGACAGACAGACAGATGGATTAAAAAAAAAAAAGGAACACAGGTGACCAGCATTGGAACTGTTCACAAGAACAAAGTGGAGATTCCTTAAAAAACATTGTAAGTTCATGACAGAAAAATGTACAGTGCACTCTTTGGATTTCAGAAAGATACAACATTAGCCTCCTACATGGTGAAGAAAATCAAAGTAGTATTGATACTGTCAGCATTGTACCATGATGATAAGAGTGATAGTGAAGCTCAACTGGGTGGCACTTGTGTGTAACTCTAGCACTCAGGAGGTTGAGACAGGAAGATGCTGCATTATGGTGAAGAAAAAGTCATAGTGGCCCTTTTGATGTTACAATCCTCTGTAGGCCTGGACACCCCAAGGGCCACGGTCACGGGGTGGCCCATGTCTCCATAGGGTGGTTTATCCTCCAGCCCACGGTTGCAGGGCCTGAGCCTTCCAAGGTGTGCATACAGTTCACACTCACCCCACGCCCTGCACCTGCTGTTCTCTGCGTTTGGCACCCCTGAGTCATCCTGAGAGCAATTGGAAATCCTTGTTCTCCCCGCACTCACAGGACTTTTATGCTGTTTGAGTGACTGCCTGTCACTTTGCTCTGTGGTTTGGTGTTGGAGGCACAGAGTGGGTGCTGCTGCCTAGCAACAGCGGCTGTGGAGACTCAGGCAGCCCCGCCAGGGAGAACAGCAGAGGCAGCTCCCAGCGCCACCCCAGAGCACAGCTTCAGGTGTGCCTGCCCCAGCCTTGGTCTCGTGGCTCGATGTTAAGCTTGCCCCTAGCTGGACCTTGCTTGCTGCTGACGCCCCCCCCCCCCCCGCCCCATCCCAGCTTTGTTTCAGCTTCCAGAGCCTCTAAAGTTAATTTGCAAAATGCTGTGCATTTTCACAAGTGGCTCAGCAGTGTGCCCTGACTTCCTGGTGAGGTGAGAAGAGGGCGACACTGGGGACCTCTTCTGGCCTCATCATGCTGTGTGAGGTCTCTGAGTCCTATGCTATCTGTGTCCCATGTGGGAGGATGGCCTCGGGAGATGGGGCCTGGACAGTGTCTGCTCTGTGCAGGTGCTTGGCCTCCAGTCACTTTGCACAAGCACACAGAGCCCTGGCTGCAAGGTGTCATCTGAGGAGGAGCCCAGGAAGAGGGAGAGGGGAGGAGGAAGGGGGAGGAGAGGGGAGAGGATAAGGAAGGGGAAGGAGACGAGAAGAAGGAGGGGGAGGGAATATGGAAGGGAGAGGAAGAGTGGGGAGGGGACAAGGGAGGGGGGAGGAGGGGTGGGAGGAGGAGAAAGGGGAAGAGGAGGGGAGGGTATAAGGAAGGGGAAGGAGGAGAGGATCATCCCAGCCCTGGTGCTGGGCCTCCTGCATAGCGCAATGGAGACCTTCACCTCATTTGTCCCACATTCTCCTCAGCCTTTTTCGATGCAAATGGACAGCAACACTTTCACTGTCACATTTAGGGGTTACCCACTGAGTCCTGAGCAACAGGACTGATGCGAAAATACAGTGGTTTGAACTGTCCTCTGTGAATGAGTGCTGTGTTCTAAAGCTCACCTGGCCTGTCTCCATTCCCCACAGTGTTTTAGGAGCATTTTGGTGTTTATGACCAGTATCCCCATGTGTCCTGTGCTCACCCAGCTGCCTACCTGTTGAAGGCCCTTAGGTGTCGAGGACGCTTACAAGAGGTCTGCAGGTCTCTCCCAAGAGCAGGGACATTGGGCGGATGTGCGTGCAAACCTGCAGCTGGGTGGGGTGCTTTTTCATGGGGCACCCTGGGAAGTCTGCCCTCCACTTGTGGTGGCTGGCATTAGCAGAGGCCTGGCCGAGCCCTGTGCCTGAGCAGTGACCCTGGGAGGGGCTCTCGCCTGGTGATCGGTGCTCCGCACCATATGCAGTTGGAGAAGCAGCGCTGAGGAGCGGAAGGACAAGATCCCGTTCCTGCTGTGAGGCAGAACCAGGTCCCTGTGGAGTGGGCAGGGCCTTTTCCCTGGCAGCGGGCATGGCATTCCTGTGGCGGCTTCTCTCATGCTCAGCTGCAGCCCCCATGTGACTGTTCCCTTGCTGAAGGGTGGTGCATGCACATCCTGAAAAGCATCTTCTCACCCCTGTGGGCCATGAGGCTGGGAAAGCATCGGAGTGCTGCGGGTGCCTGGAGAGGTGGCAGCATGCGGAACAATGAGCCCTGTAACATTTTGTTCCTCTGGGTAAAAACAGCATTGGAAGCAAATATAGCACAGCATTAACATCTGTGCTCTGGGGGCTGTGGGTAAAAACGTGTCCATATGCTGTTCTCTCTACATTCTGGCATTTAGAAATGATTTTCTACTTTCACAAGTGCAGAGAGTGTCAGGCAGGCAGAGAGACGAGGTGGAGCCTTGTGCCTGTGGCCCACTGCCTCCACCAGGAGGAAGGGGTGGTGCAGTGACCCCACAAGGGGTAGGGGATGTCCTGATTTCTGCTTCACAGGAGTGGCACGCGTGTATGGGGTGCGGGTGGCATCTCAGAACATGCATAGGCCATGGCCGGTCAGTCCAGGTCTGTGTCATCCTTTGCATTTGGAGCTCTGAGCTCCTCTCCTAGGTGCTCCTAAAATCCACTGAGGTCATCCAATGGTGCCTTAAACACAGGGTCTGTTTCTGATCCTGAATTCCAGTCCTCACCTGTTCCAGCCCCAGGATCACAGTGCTGTGCTCAGATCTGATTTTCGCTTTGCACGTGTGAGACATGGTGTTTCCATGTCTTTCCATGTCCGACTCAGTCCCTTCAGCACAGTGTTCCCTTGGTCATCCACTTTGCCACAGTGACTGACATCACCTTGCTGTGGCTGCAAGGCCCTCTATCGGGTGTGTCTCCGGCCCTTTGTCCTTGTCTGACTCCTTGGCTGGTGTTGCGTCTTGGCTATTGTGTGTCACATAGCAGGGACCATGGGTCCAGCCAGCTGCGCCTCCTTCATGAATGCTGGACACACAGGTGCGACCACTGGCTTTCACAAAAGCTCCTTCTCATTCTGGTGTCTGTAAGGCCATACTGGTGTAGATTCCTGTTTCTCTGCATTCTACCAGGCATTACTTTTTGTCATGTTGATTATAGCCATTCCAGCTTTGGTGAGGTGACATCTCACTGTGGTTTCCCTGGAGATGAGTCACGGTGATTGTTTTTCACATAAAGTACTTGGCCAATTACATGTTCTCTGGTGAGAAAGGTCTGTTCAGAGTATTCACCTATTTTAACTGGGTTATTTGGTTGCTTTGTTTTTGAGTTCTTTATGTATGCCGGGTACTCATCCTTTATCAGGTGAGCTATTTGTAGACGTTTTCTTCCATTCCCTAGGCTGTCTCTTCCCCCTCTTGGTTGTTTCCTTTGTCAGACACATTCTATCCTGATATGGTCCTATCTATTTTTCCTTTTGTTGCCTGCACTTGGAATCTTAGCCAGAAAATGCGTGCCAAATGGTGCTGGATAGACTGGGTATTCACATGCAGAAGGCATCGATGCCCTTCCTGAGCTCAGTCAGTAGCTCTCACCATGGTGGCGGCTTTTATCCTGCCAGGTTGAGTGAAGTCAGGTTGCCTGCAGCATCACCCTCCTGCAAGAGCCCTGCCCTAGGTGACTTCAGTTGCTCTGGTTCAGTTGAGTGGGGACAGAAGCTCAGCTCCCCCGGGGGGCTTGCACACACAGATGGCTTCGCATGGACAGACAGGCCTCAGGCACATGGGACCTCTGTCTGTCGGCCTCTCCTCTGGTCCTGCCAGCTGCCTGCAGACGCCCATGCTGACTTTGTTCTAGCTGTAGGGGCTGTGATATTGGTCCTGTCATCCCCAGAGAGTAGTTGCTTGCTGCCTTTGCTTCTGGATTCCTCGGAGCTGGAGGTGGGGACCATGGGCCCAGGTGCTGGAAGGGCTCTGTGCTGCAGAGCCGGGGCTGCATGGGAGCCTGTCATGACTCAGCCGGGCTGCCCCCAGTCATGTGCCTGTGTGCCTGGCCTCCCCAGGGAACTCAGTGTCCCCCACCTCCTTCTTTCCAGACATGCTGAGGTCTGCTGATGCCTTTGCTCTTGCCTTGGCCACTCACCCCCACCTCTTGTTCCTCTCCGGAGATTGCATTCAGCAGACAGGCTGCATTTCCAACCAGTTGCAGGGGTTGCCATGGAAACAGGTGGCGTGGTGAGGCAAACAGAGACCCTGTCGAAGGAGAGCATCCAGCTGCAGAGAGCTTTACTCTTGGGCTGAAAATCCTGGGAATTTGCAACAATGTGGCTGGGAATTGGCCCCAACGAAGTTTTGATTTGCTAATTCTGTTGATCAATAAATTTTGACCAGGAAAATAATAAACCAGTTCTTCTGTAAACACTCAGTAATGTTGAAACCCCTCATGTCCTGGGCCTGTTTCTGTTGTGCCTGCTTTAGGAGATGCTTCTGCTCCACGCGTCATATTGGGGTGTGTGGTCTCCAGGCGCAGAGGGCACCTGTCCCACCCACGCTGTAGGGAGCAGCCTGCCTCCTTGGCCTCTGTGAGGAGGGGGCTGTCACCCCCTGGGGGAGCAGGGTAATGCCACGTATATATTCTTTTAAAAAATTTTACTTTTAATTGACAGATACTTGTATATATGCTACATATTCTGATATTTTGAAATGTGTGTATGTTGTGGGTTGGCCTCCTCTGGCTAACTAACTTGCTTTCTCATTTTACATGATGAGCACATCTTGGGACCCTCTCAGCCATTTCAAGCATATGGTGTTGTGACACATTGTCACTAACTAGTTGCTGTGTGGTAGGCTACAACTTGGTGTTATCAGCTAATTGCCCTGTCCCACCCTACGTTAGTTATTTAGTAAGTAGGCATTGCTAACTACTGTCAGTGTGGCATTGTACACTACACCTCAACATCCCTGTGGTTGCTTCATCACATCTGTTGTGGTCAGGGATTGTGCACAGACAGTTAAAATCAGGACATGGAGTTTATAATATTGTTTTATGATGGTCACCCAGAGTTAACACAAGAAACTGCAGGAAATCTATGCACAACACTAAAAACATAGAATATTTAGTCAAGGGCCTGAGTCTCACAGCAATGTCCCACAGAGTCCAGATGAAGACCCAGAGCTCATGACAATGCCTCTTGCGAGTCCAACTGGAGGTCCAGAGCCCACAAGAAGGACTCACGCCAGTCTCTTTTATGGATTGTGCTGGGAAGGCCCAAAGGTCAGCAGTGGAAGCCAGAAAGTCCATGCCAGTGGGGTGAAGAAGCTGTGTTGGTGGGATGAAGATTCTATGCTGGAGCCAAGAAGCCACACTCATAACAAAGATCAGGGCTGTCCTGAAAAGCACCACAGCCATTCTCAGCGACATGGAGGCCTCAAGCTCCTCTGACGAAAATCACAGTTGGGTACATGCCAGGAAGCCAGCCTGACAAGTTCATCCTGGAGACCAAGCAACACACATCTTCCCCTCCAGAGCCAGAAGCAATGCTTAATGTGAGGCCCAGAGCTTCTCCAGACAAATCTAATGGCTCAAACAACATGTAAGAGAACCCACAATGCCTCCACACCTCAATGCATAGCTTCTCTTTCTCCAGTCTATTTATGCTGGCAACTTTCCTCGGGTAGAACATCTATGCTCAGTACCATGCTGCACGTGTTGGTTTGTGCACTGCTTCCCGGATGTTACTTCATTTGACCCCCAAAGCAGTACTGCAAGGTGTGCAGAGAGGTGGTGTCCATTTTTACTGCTGAGGAAGCAGAACTGGGTGAGGGCCAGGTGTTCCAGGGAGTCCTGACGGTGTTTCCACCTCTGTCCTGTTTGACCCCCATGTGGCAGTGTGGAGCTGGCGTCTCCAGGGGGTCGTGTTTCATGCTGAAGTGTTTTCTGTCTCACCACATGGCTTGTGCAGGGAAATGTGTGGAGCAAGGCATTGCTGCTTTCTAGGTTCAAACACGGGTGTCAGATCTGGGGCAGCTCCAGCTTAGAAACACTTACTGAAGGCTGGGGTGACTTCTAATTCGTCCACACTGTGCTTCAGAGTCAGAGCCTGAGGAGCACATGGCCTTGGGCATATAGGGGTGTGCCCTGCCCTGGTGCGCTAGGGTGTGCCCCCAGCGCTGACTCTGGGATTCCTGCCCATGGAGTGAGACTGTGCTCAGGTTAGGCACTCAGGGTCCTCCTCTGAAGAGTCCCCTCTAATGCACAGGGCACATCACTGAGTGCCAGTGCTCAGACACGTGACTCTGCATGTATCAAGCTGGACATGGGATGATCCCTTCAAGGGGACATGGTAGTGGAGAACGGGAGAGTAGCTCCCAGAGGTGGAGTGAGGGATGAATTGTGGGGACACTGGGCCTTTCTGTAGTGGACAGAGCTGTGTTGGGGCGCATAGCCTGCTGGGTCCTGAGGGTTGCAATTAGTAATTAGTTCTCTGAACCCAAAAGAACAGGTTCTGTTTTATTGAATAATTGTCAGAATAATGTAGAGTACGCATTGATCACTAGTGAATAAAGCTAGAGTAGCACTTAGAATTGTATTATAAGGTTATATTGGTTGTGTTTATTACCACAGGTTTATAAATGGGGCTGGAGATACGGCTCAGTGGGAGAGAATCACGTTGCAAAGAACATTGACAAATGAAAACTCATATGTTTTGTTAGACAAAAGTATTCTGAATCGTAAGCATGCTCAAGGCAGAGTACAGGTGCTTGGTGTGTGTCACTCAGGGAGTGGATTCACTGCCTGGTTGGTGACACACCCCAAAGCTTTGGTTTCTCTGGACCCTCCCCTGTGCTTGTGTGCCCCTGTTACTGGGTCTTTAGCTGAACTGTGCTGTGGAGTAGCAGGTAGTTGTGGGGTGACCTTTCAGTTGAGCACTGTTTTGGGATGCGTGTGTTTATGAACCAGTGTGTTATGAATGACCTTGGGGAAACACAGAGACCCCTATAGCACCCACACATCCTCTTCAGTCTGGCATGTGAAGGATGGCACAGAATTGCTATAGTGAGGATAGCACAAGTGCCTGCTTCAGAATCGGCAAGGATCTCATCCTGGCAGCAGCAGAGTCTCACGCCCAGCTGGGCCTTGCAGCTCTGTGCACCATGGAGCAGCTTAGGGTGATGGCAGGAAGTACCCAGCTGGCGCCCAGATGCCAGAACACTACCACTCCTCAACCTGAAGGAGCTGGCTGTGCTTCCCTGGCTGGCTGCTTGAGCCCAGGCAGTTCATTTCCAGGGAAGTAGCACCAGGGCACACCTGGGGGAAGTGTGGGGTATGGATGAAATTCCTTGACTTTTGCGTGTAGGACACTGAGGGCAGTTTCCTGGTCAGTGGAGGGACCACATCTGAACCCCGGCTCCTGCTCCTGCACTAGGCCCCCCAGAAGCCACTGGGTGGTGTGGACCCACATCAGCACAAACCATTTCTGTTCTTCTTAAATTAGAGTTGAAAAGATTGCTGGCATTGGGTGACCCAACTACTGGAAATGGGATTCAGATTCACTGTCATTTTTGGTTACCTCTTACTAATAGAGGTTATACACCTTACACTTTATGAAGATATTAAGCTAGGGAGGCATTGGGCAGGGAACTGGTGCTGTTTTGCAATTTTTTTGTAAGTCTAAAATTATTTCCAGAAGATTAGAAAGCATGGTGTTGGATCTACATGTTCTCTTTTGCTTACTTGGTAGACAAAATCTACCTGGGACCAGGACAGCTGTACCAAGATCTGCAGAATCTGCTGCATGACCTGAACGTTGTCGGCCAGATCAGCCAGCTGATTGGGAGCCTCAGAGGGAACTACCAGGTAACCACAGCTGCCATGGCACGGTTAAGATCCTGTTCCAACCTGGACCTGTGAGTGGGAGCTGGGAGGGTGCATCCAGACTGTCCAGGCCTCCCTCCTGCTGGGGGTGAGGTGGGACATTTCAGTGCCAATTTCTCCATTTTGCAAAGAGACTCTGCGTCCCCGCTGCCACATGTGGCACTCAATCCCAGTGGCTTTTTTTTTTATAAACAGATAAGAGTGTGACTGGGTCTCCCCGAATTTTTGTGTTACAACTACAATGGTGCCTTTTCTCTTGTGTAGAATTTCTAAACACTACCAAGCATGTGTCTGCATTTCCTTTTTAGAACTTAAACCAGTCAGTAGCCCACGATTGGACCTCAGGCTTACAGAGACTGATTTTGAAAAAAGAAGATGAAATCCGAGCTGCCGATCGCTGCAGGATTCAGCTGCAACTTCCTGGGAAGCAGGACAAGTGAGTGACTTCAAAGAGAAACCTTCTTGGTCAAAGCTGGGAAGAAAGTGGTCCTTTGTCACAGTGTACCTCCTCAGTTTGGTGGGCTTATCACTGAGCAGGACTCACAGAGCGGGTTTGTGTCATGAGGTGAGCACTTGTCTGTTGTTTCCGGCAGGTCTGGGCGACGTACTTTCTTCACAGCCGTGTTCAATACATTCACCCCTGCCATCAAAGAGGCCTGGACCAACAACCTGCAGATGGCCAAGCTTGCCCTCGGTAAGACAAGGCTGAAGGATGCCAGCGGGACCGAGAGACACACCTGTGAGGGTGCGGGTTCCATAGTCACCTGGGAGAAGGTTTCAGGATGGGGACATTAACCCCAGTGAAAGCGATTTCTTAGGAGTTTGTGGTGTAATGCAGGGGCTGTGGGGACCAAGCCAGGGTGCCACTTGCATGCCACCAAGCCATAACACTGTGCCTGGCTGCAGGAAAGTAGGCTGCCTTGTCCCGGAGCCCCTCCCATCTCAAAAGTAAGTCCTGCACAGCTGTGAGGATGATGTAACTGGGTGTGACCTGGTGGTTGTATTCCTGTATCTCGGTCCCTTTTCCTTGATCTGCATAGGTGTGACTTAACACTCTTCTGGGCTGCTGTGTGTGTGTTTTTGCACATGTGTGAAGCCCTCCTTTGTGTGCAGAGTCTGCAGTGTTACTGAGTAGCAGTGGGACCTCAGGGTGCAGGCTTCCTTGTGCAGGATGGTCAGTGGGAAGGGAGGGACTCTGCTGTGAGGAGAGACTGACGTGGCTGTGTTCAGCCTGGTCGGGTTCTCAGGAATGAGTGCTTTGTGGGGTTGATTCAGAGCAGCTCAGGGGAGCAGGGAGTGCAAGTCAGGGGAGTCTGTCTTCATTTCCCACTCTGCAAAGTGAAGTTGCTGTTTGCTCCAGTGAACAAAACTCATTCTCACATCTTTGTACATTTGAATCCCGAGGCACTAGTTACACATAAGGACTGGTATTCAAATCTGAGCGTCCGGCACCTTGGGAAGGTGAGGGAGGAGCAAGGTGGTTGAGGGTGCAGTTGACACTGGAGCAGAAGGGCACACAGAGCCACAGAGGTGGGGCGAGCCACTCTCTGAGATCCACAGGGAGCCCGTGACAGTCATCAGTGCGGTTTCCCGAAATAAGTTCTCGCTTAGAGTCCATGCCTACTCACGGCTGTCCTCTCTCCCCACAGAGGAGGACAACCATCTGGGTTGGTTCTGTGTGGACGACGACGGGAATCAGACCAAGAAGGACATGCACCCCCTCCTGGTGGGACACATGCCCGTGATGGTGGCCAGACAGCCAGAGTTCAAGGTGAGGGCACTGTGCCCCTGGCTGGCTTCCCTGGGGCCCACTGGTCATGGTCAAGAAACAGTCTCGGGACCACCCTGATTGCTGCTTCTTGAAAGGGATTTACTTGGAAATACTTGGGCTGCCATTCGGAGCCTCAAACACAGCCATTTTCTGTGGTGTCCAGTGCTGAGCACTGTGGTGCAGCTTGGTGACCAGTGACCTGCTTGGCTGTGCCAAGGTATCACGTCATGGTCCACAGGTATGTCTGTTTCACCACACGGCGCGGGGTCCCTTTCATGGAGACCAGAGACCTTCTTGTGTTCCCCATACCTGACCTCCCTGCCTCTGCTAGAGCATTACCCCCTGTCTGGCTGCCTCTGCTGGACATGAGCATGGCCAATAGTGTTTTCATGCTTTCTGTGGCTTCTGTAGTTTGCAGAATGTGTCTTTTTCTAATCTTTCTGCAGTACAGGGCCTTTGCCCTGAGCTGGTTATCCTGCCCTTTTACAAATTGTTGGACTAAGTCTCGCCAAGTGGCCTTTCTTTAAGAAGTAAGTGGACTGCACCATTGGCCGTCCTTGGCCTTCGGGCCTGCCCTCACTCCCTCAGATGTGCCTGTGATGCTGGCTTCCTGGTGGTTGAGGGCTTCTGCAAATGAAATACCACAGACCAACTCCCTACAAACTAAACAGCTAAGACTTACACCGCTGACCCTTTGTATCTGTGGTTTTCCTGAATATCGACTCAGCCCATCGAAAGTATTCAGATAAAGTCATGTCTGTGCGGAATGCCGGACATGTTTCTTTCCCTCATCATTCCCTCAGCAGTACAGTAGAGCGGCTGTTGGTGCCGGGGGTGCATCAGTTAGGCTGGGAGTAATCTACAGCTGATTTAAAGTCCCTGTGAGGATGCACTCGTGCTGTGTACAAATCTTGTGCTATTTTACATGAAAGACGTGAGTATCCAAGGATTTGGGGTTCCTTGTGGGATCTTGGGGTCTCTGTGGGTATCACAGGATAGCTGTATATGAATGTTTTTCATCTTTATGTTTTAATCTTGGATAAATAATGAGTGTGAGGTTTGTGATTAGGTGTTAGATATCTTGTACTCCGAGTGACTACTACAAAGATAACAATATGCAGTATATTCATTATTGTTGCTCTCCTGTTAGCTGACTTGGAAACTCTATTTTACAGTTATTCTTATTTTTTTTTTCTTCTTTACACACAAAAAAAGCAATTATGGGGTCATTCTTCAAGTTTGGTGCTTGTAAAGACTCTGCATTTGGGCCCCATTTTGGGAAAATCTGTTGAAAATATTGCAAGATTGCAGCTGAGAAGAAAGGAACCAAGCTAAATAATTGGGGGAAAACCTCTTCTTGATAGCAATGTGCCAGACTATAGTGATCTTCTAGAAAGAACTGGGTGTCTTGTAAGAGAGTTCTTTACCACGTGGGATTCGTCATGGAGCTGGAGGGCTATGGCCACGCGGCCATTTCAAGGAAGCACAGAAGCAGGGCTGGTCACAGAATAAAACTCTGAAGTAAACGCAGAACAGGAGACATTCTCACAGAGTGCAGAGGACAAGGGCAAAGACGTGAAGGTGCACAAGGAAGGAAAAAGAGGAGGAGGGCCTACTCCGGAGATGCAATATGCTCGAACCGTGCCAGGAGTACCTAAAACAGGACGAAGCAAGGGAAGCGGGGCCTAATTGTGGACCCCAGTGATGAAGACTTGGCAGAGGAAAATTGGAGGATGATGAAGTAAGCTGCACATGAAGAAGGGCTCATGGGTCACCTCTAAAATTTAACAAGAAAGAGAGCAACACCTGGGCATACCCTGGTGACTTAAAAATTTTAAGGGTAAAGAAAAAATTTGCGAGTATCCAAGGCAGGGAAAGGTGACCTTAAAGGTGCAAAAGTCAGGCTGACCACAGATACTCTCTTATGGTTCTAAATGCCAGAAGACAGTGGAACAGCATCTCCAGAGTGCTAAGGGAAAATAATTTAGAATGGGGAATTAGACACCCTGCAAGTATTGTGTATGAGAACAACTGGGAGACGCTCGCAGATACCAGGAACCTTCCCTGAAAAGTTTGCTGAATGATTTAATGCAGCCAACAGATGACTGAGCAAGAGCAGAGACAATCATGTGAAGTACTTGATGGTTACAGTTAACGTGAAGTCTAAAATTGTTACATATAAAGTAATAAATCTAAATGTAAAGTAAGCTAGATCTAACATTTTCAGCTTAGGTATTTTTAAACTGTCAAAGTGCATATCAGCTATTCAGTGTATTTTATAATAAATACTATTGTATCTTTATCATATAATAGCATAAAGATCCATGTTCTTACGCCAGATGTGTGCTAGATAACCATGCTTTGTCCCTGTTGGCAGGACTCTGAATGTTAATCTGACACAGCTGAAATGGAGCGGTGCTGTTACTTTTTTTTTTTTTTTTTTTTGTCTTTTTCCTTTTTATTGGTACCAGGGATCGAACTCACGACTGCCTGCTTACAAGGCAGGCGCTTATGCCACTGAGCTAAATCCCCAGGCCCGGTGCTGTTACTTTTGCAAGTGCATAATGTTGCTGCTGACGGTGTCAGGAGAACCTTTCCAGAGCACTGGGTGGAGAGGGCCAAAATACTGTGTGTGAAATACTGAGCCAGGAAACTGGTAATTACTGTGTCACGTGTGATTCACAAATATAGATTAATACATTCCAGGTTTCTGGAATTTAAAATAAGTGAAAAAACAAGGAAAAGTAGCAGATGAAAAATACCAAGGAAGTGTTAAAATTTGTATAAAACATATTGACAGAGACAGAAGTGGTTAAATTCCCAGTTAATAGGATCTAAGTTGGGTTAAAAAAAAAAACTCTAATCTGAATACTCACGTTTGTATAAAACAAAAGTGACAGGGGCTGACGCGTAATAGAAATTCTTTAGGTTGCAGAAATGGAGAGGACGTTTTTCTTAGGCAAAAATAAGGCTGATACAAGAAGTTTCACATTAAGAGACTGTGGCATTGATGTATAAGGCCTTTCCTGTTGTAAACTGATACAAATACTTATATTTTAAAACACATTTAGAATTAATGATTTTATGTACTTAAAATTTATTGAGTAATCCTTCAATAAAGAGACTACTTATAGCGATAAAAAAGAAAAAGAATGATAGTGTCTCGAGGCCTCTGAGGCCATTTCACTGGTTTGATTTCCACTCAGATCGAGTGTGCGGCTTACAACCCTGAGCCTTACGTAAACAGTGGAAGTCAGCCAGATTCACTGTCCACGGCACGAGGCTTCCTGTGGGTAAGAGTCTGCTTCCAGCGCAGAGAGGCATCCTAGGCATTCCTGTGGGAGAAACTTGAGTCCCAAGTACCAAGCTCTATGTTCAGACAGGAGCCTTCCTTCCCAGGGAATGGGTTACTTCTGGAATGATGTGGAATTCTTAGGAGTTACAATGTTTATTTCTGTTATTTTTCATCAAAAAGTTTTACTAGATTGAACTCAGTCCAAAGCAAGCTAGATAGCAGGTCTCTTCTGTTTGGTGGTTAAGTTGCATCATAGCCTCCCCTGTGGGCAGGCTTTTCACCCAGGAAGCCTAGCAGTTAAGATGAACCTGTCCCGTGTGGGGGCACTCCGCTGCCATGCTGGGCTTGTCCCAATCCCACCTGGACTTGCTCTCGTGAGTGTCTGCCTCCTGGTCAACACAGCCCCGCCCAGCATGAGCCTGGAGTGGTGGACACACACAGCCTGGTCAGCTGGGGTCACTGGTGCCAACCCGACGCCCAGGGAGAGGCCAGGCCTTCAGGTTTCAGCAGAGCTGTGTTTTTTCCAGGACCCTGCTGTGCCACCTGTCCTGGCTCCTGACCACACCTGTACCCTAGCACCAGCGCAGGGCCGTGGCAGTCTGAGTCCTCCCCCAAAAGTGTCACATGAAGGTGGAGGCAGGGAGAGAAACAGTGACCCCATCGCTGGGTTCTGTTAGCCTCGTTCCCAGTGAGGAGTCTCATAGCACACGGCTGTGGCTTCTGTGGGAGGGGGTCTCTGTCCACCTTGAGGCTGTCCACACACATCTTCCCTGTTAATATTTGGGATTCCTAGCTAAAGGCTGTTAAACCTTAGTGTTCATGTGCTTAAAGTTGACATAAGTCACTTTCAGGACCTAATGCTGTGTGTGAATAGGCCCTTAGCACTCCGTGATGGGATAAATGTCTTTGAGACATGACAGGCAGCCCATTCCCTATTTAAACATATTGACAAGGAGGACAGGCTGTGTCCACAGCATGTCCACGTTCCTCCCATTCCCCGGTGTGCTGCCTCTGGCCAGAGAGTTGCCGTCTTCTGGAAGCCGGCACGCTCACATCCCGCCCCTCGTACCCTCTCTTCAGATTGGAAGTTGTAGCAGCCAGATGGGTCAGATCGCCATCATCTCCTTCCACAACTCCTGCCCCAAAGTCATCGAGTGCTTCAACGTGGAGTCTCGAGTCCTGTGCATGGTGTACGTTCCTGTCCAGGAACAGCACCACGAGCCCAGCACAGCCTCCAATCCCGAGCCTGCGGCCACCTGTGTGTCCGACGTGCCCACCATCTGCCTGGGCACAGAGGAAGGGAGGTAGCAGCACTCAGGGCCATTGGGAAGGGGCGTGGGCACAACTTGGGCAGTCTGCATGGGGGAATTCCAGAAACATGGGAAAGTGTTGGGGTCGCTGCCAGCCACAGTCCAGAAAACTCCTAAAACCAGTTGGGAGGTTTTAGGAGAAAATGTTTTTACACTGTACTTTTTGTCCCTGCAGTGATTTATTTTTTTAATGGCTCATATTATTAGTGCTTCAAAAGTATATCACACCTGAGCTGGGCCTAGTGGCACACTTCTGTAATCCCAGCACTCAGGAGGCTGAGGCAGGAGGATCCTTGCAAGTTCAAGACCAACTGGGGCTACAAAGTGAGCCCAAGGCTGGCCCCAACTGCATAGTGAGACCCTGTCTCAGACCAAAAAAAAAGTATATCACACTTTACATTTAGAATAAAATAGAGCCGAATTTAATGTTATAGTGGTGTTGAGCATGGACTCATTTAAAACAAAGTGCAAATTATTTTGCTGATATAAAGTCCCAACATATAAATTAAAAGTAAAATTTTATTACAGTAAAAGAGGTTACTGTTATTCCCCCTCAAAATCCTCCCCTCCTGCCAAACTCCCCCTTGTCTTCCCATTATCTAAAGCAGTCTGGAATCCTCTTTTCACAGCTGCTCAGTGTCCTGAATCACTTTTGTCAAAAACCATGGTGGTGGGTACTTTTGAATCAACCCAGGACATGCAGGCGGCCGCCACACTGTCCCCAGAGCTGCTCAGGAGAGGGGACGCTGCTTCAGAGGGCGGCAATAGTGAGGAATGTGTGTTGGGAGAGGGTCTTGGAGGGGAGTTGCTGGGATCACAGTTGTTTTTTATCACACCGTGTAGAATTTCTATTTAAAATAGGAAAACTCGGGCGGCTACAGGCAGCTTCAGGGCATGGGCTGGCCTGGTGTCTCAGCATGGGAGGGGCAGGGCCAAAGGGCTGAGGGCCTTACCCGCTGTGACCTGTGCCTTCTCCTTTAAAGCATTTCCATTTATAAAAGCAGCCAATGCTCCAAGAAAGTGAGGCTGCAGCACTTCCCCACCCCTGAGAAGTCCACCGTCATGAGCCTCGCCTGCTCACCACGCGGCCTGCACGCCGGCCTGCTCAACGGCTCTGTGGCCAGCTACTCCAAGGCTGCAGGTCAGTGTGTGCCCACCAGGTGTGCTGTCACCCTGGCCCCTGGTTCACTCCTCTTCCAGGAGGCCTGGCTGACAGAGCACACCTCCACCATCCCCCAGGACCACAGGACTCTTGGTGCCACTTCCCAAGGGGCTGTGGGGCTTGCGCCTTCCTCAGCCGCCTTCCTGATTCCGGATTCCTGTCTGGACCGCTCCTGCAGGCCCACAACTTGCCCACTAGCACATTCTTGGGCTCCCTCAGATGTGTGCCAGGTGGCCCCCAGCGTCCCCACCCTGCCCCCCGGCTCCTCAAGCCTCCACGGGTCCTCCTTGCACTCCTGCCTGTTCTCCAAGCCTCTAACACTGGCAGTGACATCTTTGCTACCTGCTTAAAATTACCCAGGGAAGTAGTGAAGCAGCCCTGGGCCAGGCTCACACAGGCCATGCATCTTTTGTGTGCTAGGCCCCAGGATGAACAGCAACCCTGTGAGGCTGGTGGGTGAGGGACCAGCTGGACATAAGTGGAGAGGGGCCCTTGTTGTTTGTGAATGTCCCAGAACTTGGCAAACAACCTGAGTATGGGGGATCCCAGTGTCTTGTGCTCCAGCATCCTACAGTTGTCACACAAGGGAGGCTGCGTGTAGTGGGGAAGGATGGAGTGGTCACAGTGGTTACCGTATCCTCTGAGCCTGCTAGGCCAGTCTGGAACCCTCTGACCAGGAGAATACCAGGGCCCTTTAAGGCTACCATGGCCCCTGCCAGTTGTGTGCTGAGCTGAGGTAAGGGCCAGGTTTCTGGGGTATTGCCTCTTGATGTACAGCCTGAATTCTGGTTTCTAACCTAGCTTGGTCTGCTTGCATGCATGTGGAGTTCAGAACAGAAAGTTCAGACCCTGATTTTGCCCTTGAGTCACATGATGAGCACTTGGATTTTTGGCCTCCCCAAAGCTGAGCTGTTCTACTTGGCTAATGCCACCTCCTAGCTTCCATTGGTGTACTGTTTCTTCAGTAAGAAAGCCGAGGACCCTCAGAGCTGTCACTCTGGGGCCGTTCCAGAGGCTTTGGGCCACCATGCTTCTGCCCAGCCTTCACAGCCCCTTATGCGACAGCTCTGGCTGCGCCTCAGGTACTGCCTGCCCTGTTCTTTGCACTGACCTTTCATCTTGCCACCTGCATCAGGACAGATCTGCCTCAGTAGTGGTGATTGTCTTCAGGGTCTCTTGAGCCTTGACCAGATCACTATTCAGGACATTCCATCAGCTGGGTATAGGTACAAGCCCATAGTCCCAGCACTCTAGGAGGCTGAGGCAGGAAGATTACAAGTTTTGTCGAAAGTTAGCCCCTGTCTCAAAATTAAAAGGGCTGGGGATGTAGCTCAGTGTGAGGGCCCTAAGTTCAATCCCCAGTATTGAAAAAACAAAAGTGGATCAAAGATCTTAATGTAAAACTATATAAAATAACAAAAGGAAACCTAAAAATATAACAAAATAAAATAATCCAGGGAGGTCTCATGGCCTCTCTGTGCAGTGCTTGCCCTCCTGGGGGTTTGTACGAGCACCTGGTGAGCCCACCGGCTGTCAACCCTCATCCTATGACCACCTCCCCGAGGGGCACCCTCCACCTGCCCCACAGTGGTAGCCTAGTGTGGGTGCATCTCTTCCTCCCCCTCTGGGTCACGGGAGCCCCACCTCACCTGGCCTCCTCCCTGCCACTCACATGACCCTGACATTCCTTCTCTGAGGTGTCTGCATGGATGTTTGTCCTGTCATCCCTCTGGGCAACCACCTATGCATGTTGCTGAGCCACTGCTCCCTGTGTGACAGTCACCAGGGTGCTGTCCTTGTTTCTGTGACAGTCATCTGTTCACAGCCCAGGGTCTCATCACCCATGGCTGAAATTTCAGCTGTTTCCTGGTTGGCTTCCTGTGTTTTAGTCAGGGATTTTTTGTCACCTAGAGAGGAGAGAAAAGTCTTAATTTAAGGTTTGTAAGGAAAACGTCAAGTTTTCTGAGGATGAAGTGCACAGATGCCAAGAGCCAAAAGTCCCCCAGCCTTGCTAAGTTCCAGGCGGCCCTGTGGTACTTGGGGTCTCCTGCACAGGAGGGGTGGCTGCCCGTCCGCCCCAGCTTAGCCATGACTGCGAGACCGTGGAAACAGCTTGGTGGGGCTGCTGCTCTGCAGTCGGTGAAATTACTCTGTGGTCTTCTTTTTTCTTTCACCTTTGTTGAGCTTTGATATCACAACTTGGTGAGAGGTTTCCTTCAGCGCTTGGGGATGTTAATGATTTGAAAGTTTTATCTGGGTCTCAAAGCTGATTGCAGGCGTGGGCCTCTGCTGCTTCTGTCACTGTGGGTTTGCTTGAGCTTTTGTGTTCTCAGTGCAGTTGCCAGGTTAGATGAGCGCCATCCATCTCTCCCATGCTGGTGGTGTCATTAAGGCAGAACGCTGTCACGGTGCAAGAGGGTTCTTCCGAGTCCCCATCTGCCTATGGTCACTGCTGTTTTCTCTCTTCTTCCTCTTCTTTCGTTCCTTCTCTTTCCTTCTTTCTTTTTTCTCTTTCTTCCTTCCTTTCTTTCCTCTCCTTCCTTCCTAAAGCTTCTTAGAGAAGTGTAAATTTACAGGGATTTTCATATAATCTAATTCTAATTCCTATTATTTTATGCTCTCCACTTAGACTTTTCTTTTCTTGGGTTTTTGGTGATTGTTCTTGATCCGATGGGTCTACTTTGTTCCTTGTGAGTCCCCTCAGTGGCCTGATGTAGCATGGTGCAGGGTGCCCAGTGCAGAGCTCTACTGGCCTGCTGCTGGAGGCCTCTGCCTGCCTGGAGCAGAGAGGCAGCTGATTCTGAGCCCCTGCTGCTGCTGGGAACCTAGACATCTGGAGTTGAATAACAAATACCCAGATCTCAAGTCTTGGCTCAAAACATCATCAACTTCCCAGCCACTGTGGAGACTGAGGCAAGAGACTGCAAGTCTGAGCTCACCTGGGTGACTTAGTGAGATTCTGTCTCAGAAAGTAGAAGGGGCTGATAGGTAGCTCAGGGAGGAGTACGGCTCCCTTCATCCCCAATGCTGGGGAAACAAAAGCCAGATTCCTGGTCTTATACCTGGGAGTCTGGCTCAGTGCTGTGGCCAGGCTGAACTCACTTGCTGGGGTGCAACCCTGAGCAGAAGTCATCTGAGGCCACCCTCTTGGCCTAGATTCACACGAGCACAGAGGCAGGTTGTACATCACTCACCCAGGGGACAGGCACATGGGATCTGTGAAAAGAATGTTCGAGGTGCTCAGAAAATAGAGCGAAGTTGTTTGAAATTGATCCTCAGCCCAAGCACAGTGTCTGAAAGGGGCAACAGTTCATGGTGGCAGAAGACACCAAAGACAGCAAAAACAAGAGAGACCAGCCTCCTCCTGTACCTCACATTGTATCCGGGATACCAGGGTTAACATGGTACCAGTCTGGTCAGTGGACTGACCCAGCAGTCACCTGTCCTTAGTCCCACTGGCATACAGATCCGGTGCACACTGTGGGTTCAGCCTTCTCTGAACAAAGCCCTGGAAAAGCCCAATCTAAAACTGCATGAGGGGCCAGGGATGCAGCTCAGCAGCATGAGCACCTGCCTGGCAGACACAAAGTCCTGAGCTTGATTCCCAGTGCCAAAAATTTTTTTAAAAATAAAAAAGCAGAAGGCCTTGGGCAAACATTTAGACACAAACCGAAACATTCTGCCCCCAGCACCCCGAAGACTCATGCAACCCCTTTATGCAAAAGACATTTAGTCCATCTTAAAGAGTTGCCAAAGCCCAAGTTTCAGCCTTGCTGAAAAGTCCCAAGCCTCTGACATGTAACACAAAGTCTTAGCTGTAAGCCCCTATAGAAATGAAAAGAGTTAAACACTGCCAGTGTTCAGTGGTACAAGGTAAGACATCCCATTCCAATAGTCACATACAGGGAATACAACAGATTCAGACCAAAATTAAGTCCAAAATCTGGCAAGGAGGTGATGCAACCTGGCTGTCATCGTGTCGTCACCACATGCGGCTGCCACGTTGAGATGGCTTTAATTCTGGGGACCCTGGAACACCCAGAAACAAGCACTACTGTCAGAATCATGATCTATATTTTGTTACTTAACGTGACTTTGGTCCTGTAAATAGTTTTTGTTTTTGTCTAAGATGGATCCTGGAACACAGAACCTCAGAAAGTTGTAAAATTAGGCGTCCTTCCAGTTAGGAGCCTGCTGGTGATGGAGGACACTCTGTGGGCAGCATCGGGAGGCCAAGTGTTCATCATCAGCGCTGAGACACATATGGTCGAGGTAAGTGCTGAGGCTCCTGGGGGAGGCATTCGCAGGTTGCCTAGGTGCCATGTCAGCTGGTGTCCAGCGCAGCCCCTGACTCGTGGGGACCCTGGCAGCCGCTTTCCTGGGGCCTATGCTAACAGTAGCCTCCTAGATTGTGCCTCAAAGGCAGACTACCTGGGACACCCAGCCAACCCTTTCCTAACCACTGACCCATAGAAGCAATTGCTCCCTGTTTACCCGGTAAGTGATGGATGCACTGCTTTTAAAAATGTGCTCAGTGGGGACATCTCAGGGACATAGGCAGTGTCGACCTTCCTGGCAAGGTCACTTCACTTCAGCGGCGCTGGTCAGCACAGTGCCGGCTGCTGCTAGGAAAGCTGGCATGCCTTTCCCTCTGGGCAGCTCACCTGGACATGAGCAAGGCTGGGAGCCTGGGTCATTGGAACAGCGGGAGAGAGCTTCTCCCAGGGTGCCAGACACCACGGAGCTGCCAGGAAGGACACTGACATCCTGGAACGTTTTCATGTCTCATATTTCATGTCTCATATCATATTTCATGTCTCATATTCTCATAATATCAGAATATTTATGGATGTGGGAAAATATTTCTGAGGTTGTGACCAAGAGTTAATATTCTTAGTATATGAAGAATTCTACTAAACTTTAAGAAGGTAACTAATAGAAAATTTTGAAAGGGCCTGGTAAAGTAGATCCTGAGTATATGAGGGAGGACACACAAGAGTATACGCATGCATGTACACACACACACACACACACACACACACACATGTACAGCCTTGACCTCACTGATGAAACAAGGCTCTGTTAAGGAGCTCAACATAGAGCAGCTTCGGGCTCGGCACACTGAGCGGAAGCCCGGAGGTGTGCACACAGCCCTGCCCTGCCTCCACCCACGCCCCTCAGCACTGTGCTCACTCCCCCCCCCCCACAAGCCTGCAGGCCAGGCCATCCCCACCCACTGGGGGTCCACCCGTGGTTGTACACTCTGCATCCCTGCTGTCCACTCCGGTGGCCACCAACCTGTGAGTCCCATCTTCCGTGCTGGCACTGTTCTGCTGGCGAGTGGGCATACAGGGCTCTGCAGGACAGTCACAGTCCCCACTGCCGGTCCTATCCAGAGAGCCGGTCACGTTTCCTGGTGATGCTGATGAGCTAGTGTGAGACCGAAGTGTTCTGGACATTGGGACCTGACCCGGGGGAGCATGGCAGGAACTGTGCCTCAGAGATGTGCTGTGCGGGGGAGGAGGCATGGGCATGGAGGCCGCAGGGCGAGCGCATGGAGACGGTGTCTCGCACCCTGGTGGGGTGGGGTTGTTGTGCCCTGCCGTGGGCCAGGGTGTGTGCCCGCAGTTGTCAGATGAGTGGAGCTACGCGCCCGGTACCTTTGGTACTCTCTGCTGCGTTTTGCAGCTGTAAAGATGACTCTTGCCTGTCCCCCGTCTGCCTTGTCACCTACTGTCCAGCCCGCACAGCCTAGGTGCAGCACTGCTTGGTTCTGTCATCAGAATGAGTCCCCCTCCTGCTCAGAAGTCCTTTCACTCTGGCACAAAAGGCAGTGGAAAAGGAGCTCGGTGTTTGGGGTTCTCTGCTGTGAAGAGTGTGGAAGTCTGCCTCTGGTCATTAGTGACTCCTAGAAGAATCTATCTGCCTAAAGTCCAGTGATGGCAAACCTATGGCACACATGCCACAGGGGGCTGTCTTATCACTGAAACTTCTAAAAGGTTTGCCATTTCTGCTCCAGCCCGTCCTTCCAAAGAAGGACTGGGTCTCCAGTGTGAGGACTTCGGGCTAGCCTGCTAGCAGTCTATGAGTCACATCCTCAGACATCAGGCCACATGTGTCCTGTGATGTCCCACAGAGGGGCACTCCAGTCCTCAGTGCAGAGAGCTTGCGTGTGCATGCCGGGAATCAGGCCCAGAGTCCTGCATGTGCTAGGTGTGCAGTACAGTCCAGGCCTCTGAGCACCCGTGAACCATGTGACAGCAGGTTCCTCCGAATGTGTGTGCCTACTGTCTCCAGCCAGGGAGAGCCCTGAGCTCTGTGGGGAGAATAACCTGAAACAGCTACACAGCCACACCCGGAGGTCCCCAGACAGATGCAGAAGCACAAGGAGCCTTTGTGTATGATTTGTCTTCCCAGTCCCCCAGGACCCAGCCTGCCGGAGGGCGCATCTTTCTGTCTGATGCTTCGTATCTCTTGCACCTCAGTAGGAAGCCCTCTTCAGGCACAGAGCCTGCAGCTGCCAGTGCTGCCAGCCTGGTAGCACCTCAGCTGGGTCGGGCCATAGCAGTGTTACAGGATAGCTGTGAGGCTGCCATTAGTCTTCTTGGGTTTCCTCATCAGTCTCGAACCTCTGTTGGTGTCATCTTGGTGATTAAGTCCCTAACAAGGCCTAGGGTTGAACCCCAGCTCAGCCACCACACAGGGTGCCCCAGAGGATGGCAAAAGGGGTGGTGCTGTCTGCCAGAGTGCAGGAGCCCTGTGCCATCCCTGACCAGAGCAGATACACAGGGGCCAGCAGCCACTCTTCCTAGTCTTTTTATTTTTCCACTGAGAAGTAATAATACCTTTCCACAAACTATTTTTCCAAAAACTGCATTATTTGTGTTAAATTGATACCCAAAAAGCTGGAAGATGGTTTCTGCAGCTCCACCAAAAGCTCCCTGGGTAGTGTAACCTTGCCACGTTACTGCCTCATCATGGTCGTCATAGCATTTCCACTGCTCCCCGGACATAGGAGCTGGGGAACTAGCCAGAGTAGTACGTCCAGATCCAAATAAAATCCTGTAACAAAAGTGAGAGTATATTTATAGAGAGCAAGAAGTCTGCTCCCTAATGGAAGTGTGAAGTTGGTCTTCCAGGCTGCAGCCCAGATGTCCATGCAACACTGGGCTCTGCTCCTGGGGCCCGGAGGAGTGTGGTGTGGGGAGGGGCCACTGTGCATGTCCACCTCGGGCCGTGACTGGGCTGGGGGGAACTGAGTGGAGGGATCAGGGGGTCTGGGACTCAAGGTCCTGTGTTTATGGTTAGGATGCCCCCAAAGCTGGGAAGTCTGAGCTTGTCACCCAGGGCAGGTGATACTGCTGCCCCTTGGGGTGTTAAGAGCTATGGTGCAAGATGGGAAGGAGGAATCTAAATACCAAATGGCCTCATAATGCAAGTAGAGTCACCTGGACCAGTCTAACTCTTGGGGTGGCTTCATCTCTTTCCCACCCCAGTATGGCTTTGTGCCTGACCTAACCCCTGCTTAAACCCCCAGTGCAGTTTGAAATCAGTCTGATCTTAGCACGGGGTGATCACTCTGAGTTTCTGGGCACTGCATCATGGTTTGTTTCTCGGAGCTGTCACTCACAGATGGTGTCAGCTGGGTTACGGTAACTGCATCACTGTAAAGCCTGCTGTTGTTCCTCAGCCGAGTTCTGCCCCACACAGTGCTCTTGATGGATGGCAGACAGGGACAGTTAGAAGAAGCAGGGATGGATTTCCCCCACCAAAGGGGAAAACAGAACGAGGGTGACCTGCCAAGATACTGAGGTGACAGTGCCTCAGGGATGGTGTCTGTGTGCCTCCTCCTGAGAACTAAGTCTTCATCATGGGCAGCACTGCCTAGGCATCTGGATGCCCTGTCTGGCCCCTGCTGTGTGCCCTGCTTATACCCAGACACCTCAGGAGCACTGGCCACCTCCAACATGGGAAGACAGTAAGATCCTCTAGCCTAGGGCTCATTTCCAACAGAAATGCCCAGAGAGAGCAGGAACCAGGCCCATACCCTAGCCCCACACTGCTGCCCGTGTGGCTCCTGTCCTGGTTTTTGCAGTCTCTTACAGCAAGCCCTCAGCTGAGGGAGGTACCACAGAAGCCAACACATCTGCCATCAGTGGTCACAGCAGGCACTGCACAGGGCAGGATCCAGTTCTCTGAGCGCCAGACAGCCGCAGTTTCTGAGGTAGGGGGCACAGGCTCCCATTGTGCCAGATGTGTGGACCATCTCAAGGTGCTGCTATAGTCCACACTCTGGGAGTGTTAGACACTTCCTGACACCCACAGCTTAAGAGAGGAGAGGTTTGCTGGGCACTGAGCTCCAGCCCAGGGTTGGCTGCTTGCATGGCAGAGGGAAAGGGTAGAGGAAAAGGCGCCCCACCCATGGTAGCCAGAAAGCAGAGGAATGAGCTGGATACAAGAACCCACCTTTCCAGGCCACTGCAGGGACCAACCCAGCAGCCCTACCTGCTGTTAATTTACTCAGCCTGAGCTCAGCTGGGGGTGCCCTCACTTAGGAGCACAGCGCCCCAAGATCCAGCCTTGTTCTCTACACACTGAATCGAAGCCATTGTGGGGTGAAGGTGCAGGATGGGGATTGTTGCAAACTCTTGGACTCCTGGGATGCTGCAGCAGTGTGAGGCTGCCCACAGTCCTTGGGCTGTGGCAGCCACAGCAGTTTGCAGCTAGCACAGCCCCACACAACATGGGCTGGTATGCAGGTGTTTGTGGAGGGGATCCCCAGGGCTAAGGGAGGCACCCAGGACTGAGTCTGGGACACAGTTCACAGTTTGAGGAAGGTCTGGGGGTCCAGGAAAGTTCGGCCTTCTGGCTCACAGTCATCTTCTTCCTCCTGCTCCAAGTTCTACCTGATGGGCACTCTTCCCCCTGGAAGCCACAAGGACCTGGCTTTCCTTCCAGGGTGGCATTGTTTCTGAAGTCCCTGTCTCTTCAGGTCGTGAAAGTGTCTATCTCAGTATGCAGAAAGTCCCAAAGGGTTCTGTGAATCCTTTGCTGTTCTGCCACCGGGTTAGGGCCTGGTCCTGTGGCTCAGCTTCTGCCCTGCTTCTTGTCACTGAGTCGGGCTGCAGCTGGGCACTGCATCCCATGCATATCACTTCACCTGGGCTCACTGAGTGGCCGCCATGGATCCATACCCAGTGCTGTTGGCTCTGGCTGCATTCTGATTTGTGTGACCTCTCCACCCAGGGCCAGCTGGAGGCGCACCAGGAGGAAGGGATGGTCATCTCCCACATGGCCATGGCCGGCGTTGGGCTGTGGATTGCCTTCACCACAGGGTCCACCCTCCGCCTCTTCCATACGGAGACGCTGAAGCACCTACAGGATGTCAACATCGCTGCCCCTGTGCAGGGCATGCTGCCAGGTACAGGGTAGGGACCCAGGGAGTAGGGTGGGGGCCACCATGTGCCACTAGGTGTGGGTTTGGGGCTTGCAGTAAGGTGAAGTAAGGCTCACTGCTCTGACACGAGTGCCCAGAGTCCCCAGAGTCAGCAGAGCCATGGTCCCATCTCTCTCTGAGGGAAGCTGGCAGCCAGGATTCGTGTCCATGCAGTAGAACAGCGGCCCAAGGGAGAATGCAGAAAGAAAGGGCATAGGTCCTGTGGAGGCACCATCTCAGCTGGGCTCTCTGTGCACAGGGTGGGGAGACAGGCATCAGAGGGGCAGATGGAGGCGATATAAGCATGCAGCCCTCGAGGGCATGCAGACCTTATCACAGGGGTGCCCAGTGTTCCACATCTTTGTTCTCAGCTGTCCAGCGCCATGTCCTGTGACGCTACTGCTCTCTGCAGGCAGCTGGTCAACCTCAGGGCAGTGTCACTGTCTGCTGTGCTGCTGAGCTTGGGTTTCACCAGGTGGACCTTGCCCTTAGATGGACGCTACTGTGTGTGTTCTGGCTGTGTATCTGTGCATGTGTGTGTGTGAGGCTGCCCTGCATAGGAGCAGGTGGTTTAAGCAGATGGATGTCAGTTGGTCCATTTCCCTCCAGAGGCCCAGCCAAAGAACAACCAGGACCCTGGCAGCATCAGTTCACGCTCCACCTGTCCCTCTCATCTGGGGAGGAGAATGGTGTGAGTGCCCCTGCATCCTGTTCCAGACCTGCTGGTGGCATCTCCAGACAGCAAGGAATGCACTGCCAGGGGCAACATGGATCATGAAGCTGCTCTCTTCTCTCTGCAGGCCACCAACGGCTGTCCGTGACCAGCCTGCTCGTCTGCCATGGCTTGCTGATGGTTGGCACCAGCCTGGGGGTTGTCGTGGCCCTCCCAGTCCCTCGTCTGCAGGGGATCCCCAAGGTGACGGGTGAGTGGGCATCTGCCTATCCCTGGGATGCTTGAGTATGTGAAAGTCTGGAGGGCATTGTACCAGGAGTACTTAGCAGACAGTGCTGCTAAATCTGAGCTGTGCCCTCAGACTTTGCTCTTCTACTTCTTCATCTTGGAAACCTATGCTAGCTCACCTCCTTGCTGAAGGTCTCCTTCAGCACCGCAGGTTCACCAGGGGAAATTGGGCTTTGATCAGATAGGGGAAAAGCCCTGGTTTGAAGTTTGTGCCCAATTTCTGCAGGGTGGGTGGGAGTCAGCTCTGCGCAGTGTGGCCCAGGCCACTGCTCCTCCAGGAGATAGGTGAGAGCTCTGTCCTTTACATGTCACTCTTTCTGGGAAACAAGTTCCGTGGTGCCCTCCGTGGCCAGGCTCAGGTGGTGGGACCCACAGTCCTTTGGTGCGGAGGGCATGTGTGCGACATGGGGTCCCCACAGGGTGTCTGCTCCAGGCTGGGCCCCAGTGCTGGACCTTCGGAGACACGGCCATCCTGGCACCGTTGCAGTGATTAAGGCCTGGGCCATACCGCCAGGAACTGAAGAGCCCCAATTTCAGCCAGAATGACTGCACTGATTTTTTTCTATACCCAGAAACATTTTGTGATGAAAAATGAAAGAAACTGCTTATAGTATAGTAATTTTGATCCTGAAACTTGACACATTTCAGTTTCAGTCTTTTAACTGAGACTTAGAAAAATATACATTTCCATAGAATAACTAAAAAGGTATTGAATGTACTTTCTCTGGCAGTGCTTTGTGCAGAGAAACATCTTTGGCCTTGCTTTGCTTTGCTTTGCTTTGCTTTGCTTTGTTTTGCAACAGGGTGTAGTCACTGACCTGCCCGCACTGGACTTCTGCATGCCATCCTCCTGACTCAGCTCCCTGGGTGCTGGGATTACAGGGGTGCGCCACTCTGTCCAGCCTGTTTTATTAAAGCGTGGCATGGACATCCAGACCGGGTTCTACTGCAGAAAACCCCATTTTGTGTTTTGGATGATCACTCTTACAGCTCTCTTCAGACCCAGGCTGCGCAGTGAGGAAATGCTTTCCCCTCACCATCACTCGTGTGGTCCCTGTGGGCTGCTGCCTGCATGGGGCGGTGCTGGGTGACCCCTCTCTCCCATCCTTTCGATAACCTCCGATTCTGGCCTTGTCTCCCTGCAGGAAGAGGCATGGTCTCCTACCATGCACACAATGGCCCTGTCAAGTTCATCGTCCTGGCCACCAGTCCACCCAAGGACCAGGACAAGGCCAGAGACAGCCCGCCTCCCGGCCCTGAGCTCCCAGATGAAGAGCAAAAGGATGTACCCTCTGGGGAGGGGGTCACTTTGTGCCCCAGCCAGGGAGATTCCGACACAGCCATCTGGCTGGGGGACTGGCCAGGATCGGGGACGCAGCAGAGCGACTTGTCCTCATCAGAGTCGTCGAGCTTGTCCCACGGCCCCAGTTCACTGGAGCACAGGGCCCAGGACAGCAATGTCTGTGACCTCCTGAGGGATCCCACCCCCTCAACAAGGAGCAGGGCACGGCCAACCCGCAGAGCTAAGGCCAGCTCGGCGCTGGTGGTGTGTGGTGGCCAGGGCCACCGGCGCATGCACAGGAAGGCACGGCCGCCCCCAGAAGAGCTGGTGTCCTCCGTGATGGTCTGGCAGATCCCACTGCTGAGTGTGTAAGGTCACCATGTCTGCAGTGTGCTGCCTGGTGACCTGCCTGCTGCCCTGTCCACATTATAGTGCACAGCTTGGGCACAGAGGAGGACAGAGCTCATGTGTCCAGTCCCTGATGGTTATGTGACAGTGGGATGCCCTTCATGAAGTGCCTGGTGTCTCTGTGCCTGCCGGTGCTGGTGTCCGTGCACATGGAGTAGGGGATGCGGCATTGGTGACAACCTGTGGTTCTCCTATGCTCCAGGAACCCCGGCAGCCAGGTTAGGAACCAGGCCAAAGGCACCTATCCCGTCAGGTGTCTACTCCTGGAAGCACGCAGTCTCCTGTGTGTGCTATGTGTTCTAACAAAGTGCTATTTTTCTATTGCATTTTCCTATTAAAACCCAACAGCCACATTCTAGTCGCTGCAGTGTCTGTGGCCATGCACATGTGGTCTGTGCCATGGACTGGGTGGCTCGGCACCTGTGAGCACTGGCCCACACAGCTCGGCCAGCATACCTCCTGGCCCACTGCAGCGGAGAAGGAGGTGGGTACAGTGCTCGCTTCTGTGGGCCCGGAGTGCAGGGCCACACTGGCCACCATACGCTCCTCCTTGGGGATCAGCGCACCATAGGCCGCCCCCTGTGGAACACCAGGCTCGCATGCTGGGATGTGGAGCGGGTTCATGCAAGGCGTGTGCCAAGTGACAGACAAGCTGTGTCACTCCCTGGAGTTTCTCCGTCATGCATTCATTGGTGTGTGGGTAGCGAAGAAAGGGAGCAAGCATCATGAGAAACGTTTCTCGGCACATTACAGATAACTAAAAATGCTAAATCCGTCACTTAGCCAAGTATTCAGGGGTCATCTGTGTACTCCAGAGCTTCCTTAAACTGTCATCTGCTCTCTCACTGCATAAATAAAGTCGTTTTATTTAAAAGTACAGTATTACAAATTGTATTTTCCTCTGCATAAAGCTCAGAAGGTGAGTGCAGTCCGGAGAGGGAGTGTGTCCAGCAGAGGAGGCGGGCTGTCTGTAGCTCACAGCTCGAGCTGGCCACTGTGGATACTGCTGAGACCAGAGGCTGTGCCCCAGCCCAGGCACCCCAGCCTCTTGGCTGCAGACACAGGCTGCTTAGGGTGAGGGCTGGGACAGGCACAGTGGGTGATGGGTTGGTGTCCCTGGCCACAGGCAGCATGTCAGCCTCTGTCCTTGCTGTGGCCCTGGCGTGCTCAGATCTGTTTCCCAGTGTAGTCTGGCCACAGGTCAGTTTCAGGAGCCACAACACTCCTTGCCCTCCTTCCCCCTTGGTCCAGCAGCAGCTGTCATGAGGGTCCACGAAGGCTCCCATAGCTGGAACTCACCCGCCAAGGGAGCCCTCTGCTGGATGCTGTGAGGCACCTCGGGAGCCCTGGTAGTGTCATGGGTCCTCAACACCATGGAACAGTGACCAGCAGACCTCTCTGACTTAGGATGGATGTAGGTGGTCCAGCCTGTCACAGGGGTAAGGCTGTGCTAGGACCTGCATGGGAAGTGTCTGAGGGTAGGCTGGAGACCACACTGCCACCGGGGCCACAGAGCAGAGAGTTTCACAGCCTGGCAGCACTTGCCCTGTGAGCAGCAGCACGTGGGTGTCACTGGTGCATCACTTGTGGAGGGCCGACTCCGCTTGGACCCAGATTGAGCTTGACCACATCAAGCCCAGGTCTTCCGAGTTGCCATCCCAAAGAAGCTGCTGGCAGGCAGGGTCCAGGGAGGTGCTCCCACGCAGGCTCCTGATCATCGTAGCATCTGGGTCGTAACCCCCTGGGCTTTCTGTGTGGGAAACTATTCTGCTTCCAGTCGGCTACCCATATCAGCGTGCAGACACCAAGATGTGGGGACAGCTGGGCTTCTGAAGAGCTATGAAGTGAGACCCTCGAGCACTCCGCTGCCCTGCATGTCACAGAGGTCCAGGACCAGATGGAAGCCCAGGCCATGCCCTCCAAAGGAGAATGCTGCTGCCTCCCTCTCCTTGCGTTTGCCCTATGTCCCCAACGCTGCCTGGTGCCCGGCCCAGGATGAGGATGCAGACCGAGTCTGGCAGTGAGTGTCTCAGCCCCACCCTACCCTTGGGTCCTGTGTCCAGGTGTCAGCAGATTGCAGAGTCAGCGTTTCCTCTCCTGTATTGTGAGACCCCCAGGTCCTAGGGGACAGGGGCAACATGCAGTGACAGCTATGGAGGGCCCCAACCAGCATGCCTTCCCAACCCTGAGCATAGAGAAATGCTGCGTACATTTGGGTATCTGCATGTGATAAGGGTGGAGGGGCCCAGGACCTGCTGCTGTCCCCAGTCAGCCTGTGCATCTTCCTGGAGGAGGCTTGGGAGACAATGGGAGATGACAGGAGCCTCTCCTATCCTCTTGCTGAGCTGAGTGGGCCATGAAGACTTGCAGGCCAGCAGCTCTGTCAGGTTCTCTGCAGCTCACAGGCACTGCGCCCAGTGCTGTGAGCAAGCACCCTACTCCCCCAGTGTGCAGGGAAGCAAGGTTCAGATAGCTTGAAGGAAATACACACGTGCATGCACACACAGGTATGCAGACACACATGCATAACGAGTACATGCATGCACATACGCACTCCAATAATGGCGCTCCATCAAGTGGCTGTTAGGCAGTGTTTATTCAAGTGGAAATACAGAGAGGAGGCAGCTGGCAGTCAACCTGGCCTCAGGCTCGCTGGTTCCTAGTGGCTCTGGAAAAAATTAACCTTGCTGAGCAGGCGAGGGAGCCCTGTTAGGGTGGACAGCACATGTGTGGTGTCAGGGCCCCAAACTGTCTCAGGATCACCAGCCAAGGGAGCTGGGGTCACCTTCTCCCCAGCACAACCTCATCAGGGCAAGAGGGTTGGGATCCCGGAGTCAAGGCGGGGATAAAAGCACCAGGCTCAGCCACAATAGCCCAACTGTTCGGCTTGGTGTCCAGCCAGGGCACAAAGCAAGCAAACAAAGCACAGAGGTAGAAACCAAGCAGAAATCAGTGGCTTCACTGGACCCAGCACTCTGAACTCTGCGTTCCAGGTCCCTGACCTGTGTGGGGCCACAGGAGGGTGAGCGGGCTCCAGGCATAGTGAGGGCTCAGCTGGTGCACACAGCGCCAGTGGGGGTCTGTAGAGCTGGGGACAGTCCTTGCCCTTTGAGGGGACCCAGCAAGTGGTGACCCGCAGGGCTCCAGGCAAGAGCAGGGTAGTGGTGACTGGGGAAGCGGACAGAGCAGATGGAGGAGCCCAGGGCGGGGCTTCCGCTGCTCTCTCGGTTCCAGCTGGTCCTGCCAGGGGACTTCCCAGGATGCAGGCTTTGGGCCCAATGCAGGGGGACACAGATGGCTGTGGGGGTCAGGGGCCACCCAAAATGGCTCTTTCAGGGCAGCCCAGGAGACAGAGGCACACAACACGCGCTCCCAGCGGAAGCAGAGGAAGTGTGTCAGTGTGGGCATTGCTTTCTTTAGGTAAAGGATGGGAGCTTTTTATTTCCATTGACTTTTTTTTAATGTGTGTTAGTTTATGTGATTCCTGTTCTGTGTCTAGTTCTGTAGGTCTCCACTAGATGTGACCTGTTCCATCCCCACTGGTAAGGGACACATGGTGCTGCTGGGTGTTTTTTGGCCATGGCCTGAAGGAGTAGGGTGGGGGAAGGAGCTCCTACAGTCACTGTGTGACCCTGGGTCTGTGGACACCAGTGATGCAGGGAGCTCATGCATCCCAGCGTCCAGACTGAGGCCCAGGCTGAGGCCCTGCTGTGGTCAGGTCCCAGAGGACCGGTCTGCGTGTTGTGTTCTTCACTGCCAAGACTGGCTGTGTGATTCCTGGTGTCCATGAGCATGTGGGATCCTGCCCTGTTTCAGACACCCTGTATTCTTACTGTAAAGGGCAGGGCACAGGGCACAAAGCCTTGGCCATCAGGTGGATCAGGAATGTCCCAGAGGCTGAGAACCTCATAGGCAGGATTTCTGGAGGTAAAGACCTCCAGTGGGCGAGGTGGGTGCCAGGTGGCAAGTGGTCAATTGGGTGTGGCCTTGAAGGGCAACTTCCCCTCCCCAGCTCCTCCTCTTGCTTCCTGGCTCCCAGACCTGAGCAGCTCCCCTCCACCAGTCCTGTCTGTGTGCTTTTCCATGTTTGAGCCTTGGAACACAGACGACACTCAGGAAACTGAGCCAAAATAACTCTCTCCTCCCTTGAGCTGTGGTGTGGGGCTTGTGTCCCAGGTAAGGAAGTGTACCCAATGGCCTCGCAGAGGCTCAGCCAGGCAGGAGCAGGATGAGGGAGGCTTTCCTATCCCTTTCTCTCTGCCCCAGGCTCCTTGGGGGCTGTAGCTGCAGAGGCCCAGACACCCTGCTCCCTTCTTGGACCCCTGTGATGCTGGGAGAGTCACGTGCACCCATGCTGACCCACTTCCCGGGACCTGAGATCAGAAGCCAGAGCTCTGGAGCAGAGGGCTGACCAGGGCCCTGCACTGGCGCATGGACACCCCTGAGGGCTGGGGTTTCCTGAAAGGCCAGCCAAGAGTGACTTGGTGTTTTCCACAAGCCGCTCTCAGCGCCTGCAACTCTCCAACTCTAATTTCAAACAGCAGCCAGAAAGACTGGTGGTCTGTGCAGAAGACTCAGGTTTGTTTGCTTGGCGGTTAGGTTTCTGCTCACACATAAATGTAAGGAAGTCATCTGGAGCCCTCTGAACACTGGCAGCCCACTCCAGCCAGCTCGTGACACATGCACTGCCCCTCCACAGTGAGACCTTGCTCAGGAGAGACAGGACAGAGCAAAGTCGAGCCACCCACACTGCAAGCAGCAGCCTCACAAGGGTAGAGTTAGCATGATGGGGTTCTCTTTGATGTGCCATCCTCGGTGTGGCAGGGCCCCCGTCCAACAGGAGTCAGGCGGCACCAGCTCAGATTCTGAGCAGATCCTTAGCCCTGTGCCCACCTTGCAGGGAGCATACCCTGGTGAACTCAGCAGCAGGGACATAGCTTTGTGGCTGGAATTTTCTGAACAGTCTTTTCTTTCTGCAAATTCAAAACAAATCAGTCTGGAACGGACTGGAAGTAAAAGCTAGTAAACTGGTGCAGCACCCTGGCAGCTGCCCTATGGGAAGGATGTAGACCCCTTCCCCGGTGTCCCGGGGCTGCCACATACAAGATGGCCCTGAAGCCTGGAAAAGCCTCCCTGTGCTCTTTCTCGAGGCAGAAGTCTGCCATCAAGCCAGCAGGGCTGTGCTCCCTCCTTGTCACTAGCTCCTCTGACAGCCTGGTCCTCTCTGTCCTTGCCTCAGTCTCCCTGCATGTGGCAGCCTTTGTCCCAGTGCCTCTTCCTAGATGCACACCAGCCCTACTGGACAAGTCATCTTTCAGGTTGCAGGATACAGTGCAACCTGCAACAGTCTTCAAATTGGAAGGGGTTCACAGAGCAGGGGTGCTTTTCAGACCTCTGTGCGTCACATTCCACCACCCTGAGCACTCTCGAGGGTTTGCTATCTCTGAAGACACTCATTAAAGAAGACTGGAAAGTCACATTCTTCACAGTCCTTTTATTATTGGCAAGATCAGCAGTTTGTCTTTAACTGAGATCCTGTCTGGTGAAACCTTGCATGGCATCAGAGCTATTGCTAGTATTTTTGGTGGCAGCAACATGATTTAGAACAGATTTATGTGACAGCAAGATGTGGCCTTGCTGCCAAGGGGCTGGCACGATGGTGGACGCCTATTCATGGGGGTTCTCATGCTACCCAGCTGGTCCATCTGGGCCAGTGAGTTACGAACCTCAAGCTTGGGCATCTGACATATTGGGCTGCTTGAACAATCTTAAGAGGCGCCCTCCCCCAAAAAAGTTAAGCTCTGAGCTTAATTTTTTTTTTTTTTTTGGTCTTTTTCGTTTTTATCGGTACCAGGGATCGAACTCACGACCGCACACTTGCAAGGAAGGCGCTTATGCCGCTGAGCTAAATCCCCAGGCCCTCTGAGCTTAATTTTTAATTCAAAGCACAAAACATACCTCAGACTGGGGGAGTCAGAGTCAAGCGTGAGCCATGGAGGAGGCTGCAGACTTTGGTTCTTGTCAGCAACACGGAACCCAGCACTGGACCTTGGATTCTTGTTCTCAGGAGCTGCCCTACTTGGGATCTGCAGCCTGGATCTGGTCACTCATGTGGACAGGCAGCATTCTGTGTGACCATGGCCAGCCCTGCTCTCCTGAGTCAGGCTGCACTCAGAGCAGCAAGCCACCTCCACTGCTGGTGGAAACAGCCCCGCCACCTGGTATCTGGCAGAGCTGTAGCTGCACTGTGTGAAACCAGCAATCTTAACACATTCCTTAAAAATATTTTAAAATACCCATTAAACTTTCATGTCCTTTTTGCCAGTTGTGACATCTGTAATCCCACTTCTCTGGGCTGAGGAAAAATGACTGAAAGGCTGAGCCTCACCTGGACTATTTAGCAACTTAGTGAGACCTGTCTTAGAATAAACTAAAACAGGCCAGGAATGGAGCTCAGTGCAAAGGCCTTAGATTCAATCCCCAGTACTGAGAAAGTTATTTTAAGTGTATTTCTGGGGGGAAAAGTTTACTAGAATTAATGGTAGTAAACTAATCATTTACCAGCGTGGCAGCCATGATATTTATATGTCAAGGACTTACTGCCCCTTAGGATGGTGCTACAGGAAACCTAGGCCTGAATGCCTCTGACCCACGGTGGAAGCCCCAGGACAGGTCTGAAAAGTGCCCCCACCTCTTCTCTCTAGAGTGTGGGCAGCTTGCCCACTACAGTGCCAGTTGGGGGCAGCACGAAGCTAACTTCTATTTACAGGGTAGCAGGTGCACCTGTAGCCTGGTGCTGTCTGTGGTCTGCACGGCCAGAAGAAGGTGGCTGGTGCATGTGACACACGTGCGTGGTTGGCATATGAGTGCCACCTGTCCCCAGCAGTCTCGGGCACTACACCCTGAGCATGAGATTCTCCGGTGCTGGCCTCCAGAGTGCAGGAACAAGGATTTGGGGACAGAGCTACTCAGCATGCAGGAAGATGCTTCCTGGAGTGTGCAGGCGGAGCTCATGGGAGCCGCAACGCTGATGGGCAGGCAAAGGAGACGGCTTTCATCTCACACGGCACAGACAGAATTTTAATGGAACCAGTGAACCCCGTTCCCAACCAATCTATTTTTCCATGCCAAGGAGCTGGAAGTGCTTACAGCAGTTGGCTCCATTCCTGGCAGTTATTGGAACTTATTTGAAGGGGCCGGGCAGTGCATAGAGTCCTGTGGCCTGTTAAAAGCACTAGGCCAGCTTTCTGGGGCCCGGCAGAGGCACCTGCACCCCACAGGGATGCAGGAGAGCCCTCCCACGGAAGGAAGCTGGAGACGGTGGCCTCAGGCAACCTTCCTTTCCTGCACCTCCCAGGGACAAAGGCAGAGCCAGAGGTGAGCAGGTGAGCATTGGCCTGGGTGCACAGCTTGACAGTGTCCTTCCAGTGGGCCCAGTCCTGGGGGCACCATGGAAACACAGGAGGAGGCAGTGGAGAATCCCTGCCCAGACAGGCATGGAGGACAAGACCTTAGTCTTCAGCCCACCTGTCCTAGGCCGGCACTGCTGCCTCCAGGGCTCTGGCTGGGACAACAGCCAGTATCCACATCTAGACTAGAAAGCAGCATCCCCTGGCCAGGCCGGTGAACCTCGCTGCACCTTCGGGACTTTTGAGTCCACCATGCTCCCGGGCTCTTTCCAAGCCGGGAAAACTACAGCTGCCCATCCGTAGTCTTCCATCCCAGTTACTTCTGCCGTGCAGGCTTGTACTTCTGACCTGCAGGCTATACCTCAGGGCTCTTGGACTACCCTAAGGCAGGCGATTCAGTCACCTCCTTTCCTAGGCTTCAGATGAGGACCCAGGAGACTCTCTGCCCTGCTAGGTCGCAGCCCATTTTAAAAATAAGACATTTAAGGGTGGAAATACATGGTGGCACCCACACAATGACACATCTACTTAGTGGGGCAGGAGGGGGCAGTTGTTTTGCTTTTTCTTCCTTCTAAAAAATACCCATGGAAAGTCAAGTGTGCGCCAAGCACGAAATCCCAGCGTGCGGAGAGTAGGTGCCACTCTCCCAGACAGGGACATCCACAGGGACACGGCAGGCAGGGGAGTCCAAGAGCCCAGCCTAGCCCCCCACCTAGCCCCCCAAGCTTCTCTGCAAAGAACGGGGAGGGGGTGACAGCGAATGTGTTCTCCATCCAGGCGTAAGGGATGCGCCAAGACATTGGAGTAAACAAACCTCCTAATGAAGCTCTGTGGGGACTGACTGTTTCCCCATGAAGGAGGCTGTTTCTGCTAGAGTGTGCTGGCAAGTTTCCAACGCGGACAGCCCCAAGCTCCGGTCCCTAGCTCAGGCCCCGCGGCGAGGGGCGGCGAAGGGCACCGGGGCCAGTCCATTCGGGCTTCCGGAACCGCAGGACGGCGTCCAAGATGCTTAGCCTTCATTTTCACAAGCCCCGCGCCCCGCCCGCATCTCCGGCGCCCGCGGGTGGGCGGGTCGCGCGTGCCCGAACGGGGCGGGAGCGCGCGGAGCCGGCGGGGGCGGAGGGGTCCGCGGCAGCGGCGGTGGTGGCGGCAGCGCGGAGGCCTGGGGACCCCGACGCGCGGGCCTCAGCACGCGGACGCGGACGCGGCCTCGCACAGGTGCGGAGGGAGCGCGTGCGCACGCGCGGGGCCGCGTCCGGCTGGGCGCGCGTGGAGGGAGAGCGCGGCGGCGAGGTAGGGGCAGCGGGAGGCGGTGATCTGCCTGCACGGGTGGGGCGCGGGCGTCTCTCCGGATCCCTCTGGTTCGGGGACAATGAGGGCGCAGGACTCTGGGGGATGCGGCCGTAGAGCGGGCCGAGCGGGCTCCGGGTCCGGGCCGCGCCCCAGCCTCGCTGAACCCGGCGAACGGGATCCCTGCGGTCAGCACTGCTCTCGGCCGGTGCGTGGGCGCCGCACTCCAATCTGCGCCATACTCTCGGGGACCAGGTTCGGGGACCAACTTGGAGTGGGGGACAGGGACTGGGCCTGGGACGGGGTTGGGGCCAGGCCGCCATCTAGGCGCCAGGGCGAGGAGCCCGCTGCATGCCAATGAGGAGCTAACAACCCTGGTCCCCAAACTCCGCCTCCTTCCAGCCTCCCCGAGGGAGTCTCTTCCCGGAACCTGGAACTTCCTCTTGCCCAGCTGAAGGACCTGAAACAGCTCAGCGCCACAGGCGGCCCTGATCCAGTTCCCTGCTCGGCGCTCTCCATACCCTCTGCCCCTACCAGCAGCAGGTACCGGACCGAGTTAGGAGCGCCTCGGCCTCCCGACCTGAGCAGGCGGCTGCTGTAGTTAGAACCCTCGCCCTGGCGGTGGAGCCAGAGACACTAGGGCGCCCTCCTCTGTGGCCCTTGGCGGCCCCTGGGCGTAGCACACAGTCTTTGGGCCAGTTGTGGGCACCTGGCCATCGTGAAATTAGAAAGCACAGAGGATGCAGGATTTTGCTGACACACTTTAGGCAGTCTCGCGCTCTGGGGGGCAGAGGACAAGCAGCTGCAGGGATCTCAGGCCACAGGTCTCAGCCCTTGCCTCTGCTTGGTGCTACCTGGTGACCTTGGCCTCTGGTGTGGCCCTTGGGGCACTTTGCCAGGGAGGACTTGGACCTGTGGTTGGGCTTCACCCCGACAGCCCTGAACGTGACTCCACGCCAGCCCTGTCTGCTGACCCAGCTTCACGTGTTCAGCATGAGTCCTGACAGTGGCTTCAGGAAGCCAAAGGGCTTCTGTGTCCTGCAGTCTGCTTTCCTGTGTTTCCAGAGCTTTGCTGAATTCTGAAACAAAGAGCCATCTTGGTGGTGGGTGCCTGGGCTTGGGATCACATTTCAGTGCTTCCAAAATACCAACAGCAAGGATGGCTCAGTGATGACGGCTTCCTGCAAACCTGGAACCACTTAGGCTGCTGTGCTTCTTTGAGCCCTTAAGGCTGGGGTGGGTGGGCTCTGCTGTCACAGAGCCCGGCTGGCCACACAGGCCTTTCCCGTCACCAGCCTGGCTACCCTGCCCTGAGGTTCTGTAGTGGCCTCGAGTTTCTCATTTCTCTTGGAATTACTGTGATTATGCTGAAATTATACTTTTGGTGCCCAGCACATTGGCAAATATTGAGCATTAGACGTGTTTTAGAGCAGAATTAAAACTTTTTCGAGGTTACTTTTGGCCAGCAGCTGGGTTCCTGCAAGGAAAGTTCACAACTGAAAAAGAAGGTACTCTGAGTGGCCCCAGAACACCCCTCCCACCAGTGTGCAGTCCGGGCTGGGACAGCTGTCTGGAGGACCAGGCCTGGGCTCAGAAGTGGCTGACTCGCCTGAGGCAGGGAAATTTGTGCCCACACTGATGTGGCAGGGTATCCTGGGCAGCTGTGTCACCCTGCTCTGTCTCTGGGTCTCAATTCAGCAGGGTCCTGGAACCAGGCTTCTTCCTGGTGAATCTCAGAGGCCAAGGACTATGTCTTGCAGAAGCAGAGGTAGGTGGAAGTCAGGCCACCATCTCACAGTAGCCTGTCTTGGTCCTTGTGGTCAAGGGCTCCCTGACAAGGAGGGCAGGGACCTGCGTTGGGTTGCACCCCCTCCTACCACATGGGAAGAGCATGTGGCATGGACTGCTCTACAGGGTATCTCTGAGGACATAGTGTACCACTGCTGCCTGTTACACCAGAGTCCCACCCACCGTGGGACAGAGGCCAGCGCCCCTAGGTGCTCCCATCCTCTGTGGTACCTGATTCAGCTGCAGTTAGTCGGCATAGATGCTATCCACTGGAGTGAGGTGGAGTCTCACCACAGCCATAGAGGGGCCACCACTACCTCAGATTGCTCAGAGCTCCTGGAACAGAGGTACCAATGGCTCTGTGTGTACAGGGGGAGACAGATACTGATTGGTTAATTGGCTGATTATCAGCCTGAGGAATTGGCTCCTGCAGTGGTGGTGGTGCCAGGCCACACCTGCAGGCTAGCTGGTGGAGGAAGCCAGGTGCCACAGGTGCAAACTCATCTGGAGGCTTTGTCCTGTGAGGTGCTCAGTGCCGTGGTACTAAGAGGAACCCTCTGGTCTCTGGTGCAGGGTGAATTGGGTCTGTTCTCCAGGTTGGAGGGCTGCCAAGATAGCAATTCCCCCCCGCCCGGGGCTTACCTCCTCTGCACCGCACCCCACCTGCCCTTCTCTCATGGCAGCGTGAAGTCCTTCCCAGAATCCAGCAGATGCAGCACCATGCCTTGGACTTCAGCCTGCAGACAGAGCCCATATAAATGCCTTTCCTTGGAAAGGAGCCGTTTCTGGCATTTGGTTATAGCGGCAGAGGACAGACAACACGTTAGTTTGAGCTGTGCTGGAGGAGGACCTGCAGCCATCTAGGGCTGGAATTCCCTCTTCCTCGGGTGCCCTGATGGTTTCCTCTTAAAGCCACCAACTGATTGCACGAGGCCCACCTCTGCTTTACCCAGCATGCTGCTCTGAATGTTAATGTCACCTAAAATAACCACAGTACTTCAGTGGCACGAAGACTGGGGCCCCACACAGTATCTGGGGACAGTGGCCTTTCCTGGTGCACACATAAAGCTGAGTGACGAGAGACTGTGAGGTGCTGGCCTGCAGCAGTCCTCACCCAAGGCAGCTGATGTGACCATCCTGGTTCTGGGACCGAGGCCTGAACTTCTGGGGCCACCCTACAGTCATTCCTCCTCGCTGTGGCAATGCCTGTTGTATGCAGCTGGGCACTTTTCTTGGCAATGCCAGCTGGAGAGTGCAGCATCTATTCCATGGGGCCAGGGCTGGTGCCTTGCACTGCCCTGGGTTTCTGGGGCTCTGCCAGATTCATGCTGAAAAAAGCACCCCCAAGTCCCATCCACACAGGTTCCTCCTGACATCTGCAGGCTGCTGTAGAAACAGCTCTTGAATTTCTGAGAGTCCTCTGTTTGCCAAGAGGTGCGGCTGGGCCTTGGTGGCCTCTCTCTGACCACCTCAGGTAACCAGGGACCCCAGGGGAGGACCTGCCCGCCAGAGTTGGACACATCTTCTGTCCTGAAGCCTGCCTGGGAAAGAGTTTGTTTTCAGTCCAGCGTGGCCTGGCTCCTGATAGCTGAAAGGCATTCTCTGTGGGCCTGATGGTGATCACCAAGCAAAAACCTGCAGTAGATACAGCCAAGAATCAGAGCGAACCTTGGGGGAAATCACCTGGTCACAAAGGCCAACAGTGAGAGGAGATGGGAGCCAGGTGGCAGACACCTGAAGCCCTTACAGGGGGCACTATCACCTGGAGTAGAAACAGAAACACAGGGTCTGAGTTTCACCTCACCCTCAAGAACACCTGGCCCAAGGGGAAATCGGGGGTCCAGTCTGGACATGGTGTGCAGCTGGAAACTGGCAGAGAAGCTTGGGGGACGCAGAACCCAGGCAGAGCCCTGCTCATCCAGGGATGGCCTGATGTCTGGGGGTGGGCTTGGTCAGGAGGTTGACCCCCCAGGGTCAGTGGTGACCTCCAGGGCCACTCATGACCAGAGTTTGTGTCCCTGCCATCCTGCCAGCAGAGCCACACCTGGATCTGTGCTTTCCTGTCTCAGCCAGCTCTTGTGTGTGAGCCCTATTGCAGTTTGCTAGGGCAGGGCAGGACACACATATGGGTCTGTGGCCCCCTGTACACAACATCAGAATTGCCTTGTTGGCCTGCTGTCCTGAGGGGCCTGGAGGGGTTGCCTGGCAGGAGAGGTGGCACGCCCTCCATGTGGCCTTCCAGAGGGGCCCTGGAGGCAGTGGCCCTGACCCTAGGGTATTCACACACTATCAAGTACTACTGTGCCATAAAGAAGGACAAGCTTGAGGCATTTGCAGGAAAAGATTGGACCTTGAGACCATAATGTCAAGTGAAATAAATCAGACACAAGCTTAAATATTATATGGCTTCTCGTAGGTGAGAAACGCAAAATGTAAACAAAGAGCAAAATAAAAAATAGATAATAACCTTTGCACCTGGGAATGGGACCAAGACCTGGAGGGAGAGCAGGGAAAGCACCGTACAGGGTGTGTGTGGTCACTGCAGGATGGAGACCTTCACCAGTTCTAAGTGGTGTCTGAAATTGGCTTGGCACTGCAGCGCTGAGCCATCCCTCTGAATGCATGTGGTTGTTTCAGCAGGGATGCGGATCTGTCTGGAAACAGTTTGGTTCATTCTCGGTTTGCATGGCTGCACACAGGCCATCCTGGCCAAGCCCAGGACCCATTGGCCACACCTGCGCTGACACAATCTGAGCATCTGCTGCCCAGCGTGCCCACAGGGAGCCATTGCCAACAGGGTGCTCAGCCCAGGCAGCTTGTACTTCAACTGTGGTCTCCAGTCCTTGTCAGGGGGTCCCAGGGTTTCCAAGCCTGCCCTGAGTGATGGCTGGAAATGGACCTCACACAGTTGAGGATGGCGGTGTAATTTGTGTGCCACCTGTGCGCCTCTGACTTGGTGTGACCTGAGTGTTCATCTTCATGTCTGACTGTGTATTGATCTCAAGTCCAAACCTCGGGAAGGGCGGGTACTTGATTCACAGCTCTGGGTCACACTCAGAGAACTTGAGCATGGCTCACACATGCGCGTGCAGGACACGGGGACACTTGATTCATCTCCACGCTGTCCTGCAGTATCTCTAAGAGTCTGATGCCAGTGAGCTCCGTGGCCTTGTAACCGGAAACGCAGCTGGCCGAGCCACCCTTGCTTTGCTCTTGCTGTGTGCCAGGCTTGTTTGCTTCCTGAAGAGCAGCTCTTTTACCTCCCCTTTCTCATGGGGCAGCCTTGGTGTCACCATCAGCAACAGCTGGAAGCTTAGGCGTCACCAGGCCTGGTACTGTATTCGGGCTTGGGTGTGTGCTGCTGAGCCTCTGTTGGGACAGGGCTGGAGCTCACGCATCCCCATGGCTGTGGACCTGGTCCTCGGGGGAACTTTACTGAGGTGGCCTCTCCCCACAGGACAGAGCGAGGGGGTGCTAGGAGCCATCACCATTTCTGACTTGCAGATAACTGAGAGGGCGCTGATGGCCTGGGGTCTCAGAGCTGGGGGCAGAGGTCTTGTAGGCCTGGCTATACCTGACACACGGCATGCTGTCAGACAGTGACAGACCCAAGGTGTGCCTGTGGTGCACCCTCGTCATCAGGATCCAGAGTGCAGAGACCCGTGTACCCTGCCGGGATTCCACAGAGCCCTGTGCTGTCCTCTGCACACGCATGTGCAGGGGCTGGGTGGTTAGGAATCTGGCCTTATTCCTGTCCTCTTGGACGCTTCCTGCAGGGGAGTGTGGGGACATTTCCCATGCCCAGCAGGGCTCCACTGCAGACCCTTTGCAGGGTGAGGTATTTGGAGAAGGAATGACAAGCGACCACAGGACTCCTGACCCAGGAAAGCACCTCTCCATACAATGAGGACTGCCAGGGAAGCAGGACTCACCAAGTGGAGGGTCAGCGGTTGGAGGGTGACACCCTGGGCAGCGGGAGATGAGTACAGCTGAGAGACGTACTGAGACCTTAGGGCAGGGCTGTGAGAACATTTGCACACTGCTCTGCTTGGGACATTCACCTGACCAGCATGAGCCCTTCAGTAACTCCAAGAAGGCAGTGGCTGGGCAGCTGTGACTCTAGTCTCTGTCCCAGAATGAGCTGAGGGCCCAGTGCATGGACACAGAAGGACGCAGGAGCCCAGCAGAGTTGTCAGCTTCAAGTCCTAGCCCGTCCTAGCTTGGACTGTCGCTTGTCAGCAGCAGATGGGGGAGTCTGTCCTGGGCTTTGGTGTGCAGGGCAGGTGGGAACTGGGTGGCAGGGCCCTCGCCAGGCTCCCATGTCCCCTGCTGGGCCACTGTGCATGCAGCAGACTGGCTTCTCTCCTGGGGTGTCAGGCAGGCTGACCTCGTACAGCACTTGCTACGCGGCTGAATGTAAACCAACTGGTTCTGCACTCAGTAGTGGTCCTGAGCTTCCTCGAAAGTTTCTTTTCTCTTTCTCCTTTTGTGGTACTGGGTATTGAACTCAGGGCCCTGTGCACACTAGGCAAGCCCTCTTCTACTGAGCTACATCCCCAGCCCCTCACAAGTTTGCAAGACCAGGTTTCCTTATGTTTCCCGTATTACTACCGTTGTATTTTCCTTCTCAACCTCCTAACTGACGAGCTCCTGACTGACTACTAGATTCTGGGAGCTGGGGTCTCTTTGGTGCAGCAGGAATAGGCACCATACCCAGGTCACCAGAAGGCTGGTTTCGAAGCACCTTAGTCACACAGTCCATGAAAGCTTCCATAGTCTGCTAACTTAAAAAACAAATTTGGCTGCTACAACTATTTGAAAGGAAGATTATTTTTAGCAACTGGTGTTAGTATAATGGAGTATGCCGCTTGATTTTGAATATGCTAATATCCACGTCAAATGTGTAAGCTCATTTGACCTCATGCTTTTAGCTCATATGAACAATGAAGATATAGGAACTTAAGCACCTTTCTTTGTTTAGGCATTTTATATAAAGCCCAGAAGAAGTGTCTGTCCTGTAGGGAAAATGCACGCACATCACACTCGTCACAGCAGCTCCGCCATCCCTAACAGCAGCATGCATGCCAGGTCCTGTCTGTCACTCACTCCCCAAGTGGTACTGGGGACACAGTGAGGCTCATGTAGGCAAAAAACCCTGCCCAGTGCACAGCCACTGGGGAGTCTCATCATGGCACAGTAACAGGATGGGCAGCACCTCCTGGGGAACCAATCCCACAGCCACAGCAGAACAGGAGCCCTGTAGGAGTCCTGGCTCCCAGTCTATCTCAGCACTGTCTGACAGAAAGTACTGCTGTACTCTTGTTTTTAAATCTTGTAACTCTGGAAGCTGCTGCAGCTTAGGGTTACTCAGGAACACCATTAATTAAGTATTCCCAGTGGAATACAGTGGAATACACTGCAGGTCAGAGCTTGCTCCTGGGGCCCAGGTGGACACAGGCTATGGAGGAGCAGAGTTGGTCCCATCTGCACCCTGGGGGAGGTCAGATGCACAGCGGCAACTTCTCTGTCCATGTTAAGCTATAGTCACTAACAGATCACACTGGGGAGAAAAGGGGTCACTGAGACCTTCAGCAGCCTCATCCTGCTGGGCTCAGCCTCTTTTTGCAGGGCACCTGGAGACACCCAAGCAGCAGCTGCTCCCAGCACTAGGGAAAGGGCTTTCAGAAGTCAGTGCTGCCCCAAGGAAGGAGCCTTGCCACATGGCCCCCAGCCCTGCTCATGGTCAGTCGCTGCAGATCTTTGATGTGCCTGACGCTGGTGTGTCCATAGCCAGCTTTGTTGTAGCGAGGCTGAAGGGCACTGCTTGTCTGCTGGGTGACTGTGCAATGGTCCCAGCTGGGTCTTAGGAGCAGCTTCTTGGGTCAGCCCCAGGGAGACTGCAGCTGGGCCATGCCCAGCCCACTGGACTCTGCCTCCTGCATGACACTGAAGCCACACTGCTACCCAACCAAGTTCAGGCCAGCAGTGTGAGCTCAGGCTGGGACAGCAGTGATGAGCTCGGCAGGCCCACATTGGGAGGTGGCTGAGCTCAGCCTGCCCTTCCCCCTGAGTGGCAGTAAGCGCCAGTTCCATGCCTGGAAGCCTCCTTCCTGGACAGCACTGATGCCTGCCCAGGCCTCTGCCAACACCCAGAAGCCCAGGACACAGCTCTTGCTTGGCTACTTCAGTAGCCAGAAGATGACCCTACAAAGCGTTGGGGCATGCTCTCACCTGAGTCTACAGTGCTCAATGGTGGTGGTCCCGGGTTGAGCCTGCAGAGCCTACTTCACTGTGTGCTCCCTGCAGCTCTGGTAGTCGTCCAGCCAGAGAGCAGGGACATTCTGAGACCCTGGCTGGATCAAAGGGAGGAAAAGCATCCTGTGTGATTTCTAAGGCCTGGGTCCCTGAAGCTGTGCTAACAGAATGAGCAGTCATACACCAGCTCTGCTTTATGTACACTGAGGTTCCTGTGTCCTAACTCACGGTTATGTCCTAGTTTGTATCTGTCCCTTTGGAATCTGTGAGGAACAAAGGGCCCTGAGGCCCAGGGTGTCCTGCACTTCATCTCCCGTGTGCATTCTTCTATCCTCGTGCTGTGGCTGGACGGTGCCTGTTGAGTCAGTCATAGCTAAGTCTACCCACGACGGTGTCATGACCCACTTAGCATACCCTGTGACCAGTGCTCCAGAGTCTGAAGGAGCCCTGGACACTGCCCTGCACAGTGTGGCTGAAGACCTCGGCAGGCAGGGAAGAACTGAACTCATCCTCCGTTTCCTGCTGAAGACAGCTTTCCCTGCTGAGAGTAACAAGGAAGCGCTTCCTGCAGCTTCTCCCTGGGTGTCTGTGGGGCCTAGAGTGGTGTCCAGAGAAGTAAACATCGGATTCTGGAGGAAGGACCTGAGCACCATCTCACCTGGCTTGTCCAAGGCGGGTGCACATTCCTTTTAGACATTGTACCGAGTCATTGCTGGGAGCCGACATAGGAGGCTTCTCTAGGTCAAGTGGCCACTAGCACCTGCTCACCTTGCAGACATTCTGTGGTTGTGCTGCGTGGTTCCACAGTTCCCTGCCAGGCTCCCCTGCCTTCTGTGCCCTCTCTCCAGTTTGGCTTTTTCCTTTCATATCCAGGTGGTTGGGTGATGGCTTCTATGAAGTTTTCAGAGATGTATTTCTAAGAAGCACCAATCAGACACAGCAAGGGAAGCCCCTGGGGTCCTCGCTGAAGTGGGCCGCAGTGCATTGTCCCTGTGCCCCCCCCCCCCCAAATGCTTGCTTTAACCCAATCTGAGCTGGCTGGCTAGGAAAGCCCAGAATGCCGTCCCATGTACTAGACTGCAGGGCCCAGCTGTGCTGCCTTGCTGTAGGGTTTCTCGCTTTGGCTAGTGTGCTGCTGGGTGGAAACCCGGAAGCTGCTGCTGTCTGGCTGCTGCAGACCACAGGACTAGCAGTTTTGTTCAGCTCCACCTGTGTGTTTAAGGCTGTGTTTGGGAACACCTTTTGCTTGCACTGGGCTCTCCTTAATCTGCATTTGGAGAGAAGGGAGGGAATACTAAAAACACAGTTGTCTAGCAGGGAGAATCTGCCATGCCCTTGACCACCAGAACTGAACCTGCTCTCTGGAACCCGGCTGGGGGGACTTTGGTAGATTCTGTTGACATCACATCCATGAGCCCAGGGAACAATGCAAACTCAAACCCTTTTTTCTCTCCTACAAACAGGAAGAACATGAATGGTTCGGAAATGCTGCTGCCTGACACAGGAAGTTGGGAGGGCTCCTGGTGACAGATGAAGAAGGCTGCAGAGGTGTGCAGTCATCACTTCCTGGCACCATCTGACCGGTGCGGTATGGTCTCCCCAGGTAACTGGCGTGGGTGCCTTCGGCCAGAGCCCAGGACACAGGATGCCCTCCTGCTGACTTCTGCCTTAATGTGAATGAGTCACAAGGGACAAGGTCTGTGTGGCCAGCCCTGTGTAAACACCTGAAGGGCACGCCCTCCTCCAAGGACAAGGGAGGCTGGGTAGGGGAGAAAAAAGTGGACAGAAGTGGAATCTGATCCAGTGCCAGGAAGCCTGTGACAGGAAGCCAGGCGGCTGCAGGATTTGGCCCACCATGGAGAACGCAGTGGCTTGCGTCCTCTGCCCAGGAGAGGACAGCGCTCGCGGGGCACCAGGAGAGGGCAGCCTGCTGCTGCAGGACACGACCGCAGGGGAGGGCTCTGCATCTGCGTCTCTGTCCCAGTCGCAGGCACAGACACCCTGCAGTTTGCGCGCGTCCCTGTGTTTCAGCTCTGGGGAAGAGTCCCCGCCGCAGTCGAGCACCGCTGCCTCTCAGGACTCCGCGGCATCCCCGCCCTCACGCGTAGTACAGACGCAGTGGGCGGTCAGCAGCGCGAGCGCCCTGTCGCTAGAGGAGCCTGTGTCGCAGGAGGATCCTGTGTCCCCGGAGGATCCCGCGCGCCTGGAAGAGCTCCTGTCCCCCCAGGACCCTGAATACCAGGAGGAGCCTGCAACCCCTGAGCCCGCGCGCCAGGAGGGGCTTGTAGCGTCTTTGGAAGAGCTCGGGGAGCCCCCGCCTGTGCCCTCCGGTGACGGGTCTGTGCACGGGGAGCCTGACCTGGTGCTCGAGGTGTGCGGCTACCGGCTGCGCGCGCACAAGGCTGTGCTGGCTGCGCGCAGCGACTTTTTTCGTGCACGCGCGTCGCGGGACGTGCTGCGCGTGCAGGGCGTGAGCGCCGAGGCGCTGCGCCTGCTGCTGGCTGACGCCTACGGTGGGCGCATGGCGGGCGTGCGCCCCGACAACGTGGCCGAGGTGGTGGCTGGGGCGCGCCGCCTACAGTTGCCTGGGGCCGCGCAGCGCGCCACCGACGCCGTGGGGCCGCAGCTGACTCTGGACAACTGCTACGAGGTGTTGAGCGCAGCTAAGAGGCAACGGCTATCTGAGCTGCGCGACGCCGCCTACCGCTTCATGAGCGACCGCTACCTGGAGGTGCTTCGGGAGCCCACCGTCTTTGGGCGCCTGTCCGGTGCCGAGCGCGACCTGCTGCTCCGCCGCCGCCTGCGAGCCGGCCGCCCTCACCTGCTGGCCGCCGCGCTTGCGCCTGGGCCGGCCGGGGAGCGCGCCGGGAGCCGCCCGCAGAGCCCCTCGGGGGATGCGGACACGCGCGGGGATGCGGCCGTTTACTGCCTGGAGGCAGGCGGCTGGCGCGCGCTCACGCGGCTGCCCGAGGGCGCGGCTGCCCGCGGCTGTGCCCTGTGCGTGCTCTACAACTACCTCTTCGTGGCGGGGGGCGTGCTCCCCGCGAGCCCCGACGGCCGCGCGCGCCCCTCGGATCGTGTCTTCCGTTACAACCCGGCCACCGACCACTGGGCTGCCGTGAGCCCGCTGCGCCAGGCGCGCTCGCAGCTGCAGCTGCTGGCCTTGGACGGTCACCTCTACGCTGTGGGCGGCGAGTGCCTGCTCAGCGTGGAGCGCTACGACCCTCGTGCCGACCGCTGGGCAGCCGTGGCGCCACTGCCCCGGGGTGCCTTCGCCGTGGCACACGAGGCAGCTGCCTGCAATGGCGAGATCTACGTGTCCGGGGGCTCGCTGTTCTACCGCTTGCTTAAGTATGACCCTCGGCGCGACGAGTGGCTTGAGTGCCCGTGCAGCCGCAGCCGCGAGCGTTCGGCAGACATGGTGGCGCTCGATGGCTTCCTCTACCGCTTCGACCTGGGCGCGGCGCGCGGAGGCGAGGAAAGTGCGGCGGGGCTAGGCGCCGTCAGTGTGTGGCGCTACCACTGTCTGGCCAAGCAGTGGAGCCCCTGTGCCGCAAGCCCACCGCCCTGCGCGCCTAGCCTGCAGTCCTTCCGCTGTGCTGCACTGGACGGCGACATCTACTGCGTGAGCCGTGCGGGCACCTGGCGCTTTGTGCATCCACGCGATGGCGAGCCCGACGGCCACTTTGAGCTAGAGCCCCTCGCGGGAGCCCTGGACGTGCGTGGTGTGCTGGTCCCTTTTGTTCTCAATCTGCCAGAGCAGCCTTCGGACCCTGGGGAGCAGGGAGCTGCCTAGGTTGGGCAGCCAGAAGATGGCCCTGGGGCTGGGGTCTCAGGCAGGAAAGGGGGTGGAGGAGAGGGAGAGAGAGTAGGGAGGGCTGCTACCCTCTGTGGCCTTGGCCTGCGATGTAGACACGTGCTGTGAGGGTAGGTGCTTTGCAGTCTGTTCTGTTGTAAGCACCATTGCTTCTCTCTTATGCAGTTCTTTCTGCTTCTGTTTGCTTAGTGGGGCCCATGGTGTAAGGGGTAGGATGTGAGCAAATGGCCCCGGACAAGAGGCACGGGCTGCCTACATGTGGAAGTGGGGCTCACATGAGCTCGGGGTACACCGAGGGGCCCAGGTGCGCTCCAGCCTGCTCTCCTGCGAGATGAGGGGCTGTGGACCTGCCCCGGGGGCTCCTCTCACTGAAGTTTCTCACCATTCTGGCTTTCTGTTTCACTTTGGCTTGAGACTTAAAAGCATAATCGATGAGCTCTGTGATTTAGTAAAAACTCTTGCTGCTGTCTGCTCAAGTTTGTGGACTGACAGGTATTTGTGGTGAGGTCCATGGTCACCAGTGTGATGTAGTGCCTGAGCAGTGGAGGCCTGGGGGGTACAGTCAGTCCCTGCTGATGCAGGATATGGGTGAGCACCAGTGATAGCCCTGTGGCTGCCATCCTGGGTCTCTGGTGAGGAGATGTCCAGCCAGGCAGACCAGTGGCTGCATCCTGCAGGAGGCCGGACCTGCTCGCTGGCCACTGCTGTTAGGAGGTGCTAGAAGGTACACTGTTGCTCAGAGGAGCCTTCTGCAAACAGCACAGACACACTTTGCATTCGAGTTTGAATTGCATGATTCTGATTGCGGGTCTGGATTATGAATCCAGTTCATTTTTTTTTGCTCTAAATGGTGAGGATTCTTTGAGATGAACACACTGAGAACAGACATGAGCGTGGTTTGCTTGTTACCTGGTGGTGGGCATTGGCATCTCTGTAGAAATCAGTGGGTAATTGGGAAATCGGGTGCACTTCCTGGACAGTTTATGGTTGTGAAAGGTCTCTGCTAAGTTAAGTGTGTTTAGAAATGGTCAGCTCGACTCGCATGCATAACCCGGGGGTGGAATTTAGGGTTTTGGCCAGTGTTTTCTGGGGGCTTGTAAGCTTGCTGTGATTATTCATGAGCCAGGAGGATAGGTTGGCTGCCTGGTTAATCATCTTAGGAAAGAAAAACAGACTTTGCTTGCCTAACTTTATTGTCCTTTTATAGCAGTATGCTGGAGAAATGGGAGTAGAAGAAATAGGTAGAGAAAAGGAAACAGATAATGCTGTTTTAAGGAAAGTACATTTTATATTGTTGTGATTTTTTCTGTAGAATTTTATTACAGATGCTAAAAGTGTTTTTATATGAAATGGATTCAGACTAATATTTTCGTTCTTTAATATCAAGTCCACGCAATACTCTCGATAGGGCATTTCCCAAGGAGTCTTGCTGGGGTGTTCACTGTTGGGACAGTGGCCACGGAGAGGACAGGGAAATGGCGCTGGTTAACCACTCGGCACCATGCTGGAGATGCCCTGCCTGTTACTTTCACTTCTCTGAAGCGAACAGTGCCTGCTGCAGTCAGCAGATCCTCCTGTGGGCCCTGGGATCCCGGGGGCTCCTGAGATCTCGTGCAGGAAACCTGAGGGGCGGGAGGGATTATCATTACCGCCTGTTGTGCAAACAGGTAGAATAGTATGTATCAGATTTCTAGACAGTAATAAGCTGATGAAAATGGGATAAGAGGCCCTGGCAGGTCACAGCACCATTGGATTTTGTTTTGGGGCCAGCCGCTGGGTGTGGATGGAGCAAGGTCTGTGCTCATCAAACTATCGGAAAAGCCACATCCACCAACTACAGATCTGGGCACTGTGGGGGAGGTGGCCTGCTGGGACAAGCCCCCTGGTGTCCAGCTGGGCTGGCCCTGTCCCAGGACAGTGGGAGTGGACATGCTCATGGCTCCAGGCAGTGATTGGAGAGGGCCAGTGTGTGTGCAGCTCTGGTATCCCCAAACAGAGCCCATCGCAGAGAGAAGGCCATGCACCCGAAGCTCAGCTTCCCAATTAGCTGTCAGCCAGACATCCCCTGGGACCCACAGGAAGGTGCTGTGTGCTTTTTTATTTCTGGTCCGTTGTCACGCTCTGGCCTGAGATCTTGTCCACACCAGCCACAGTGCCCTCTCCTTTGCCTTTAGGAGAATGAAACTCGCTGTGGACATTCCTTTGCAACTTAGTTAAAACTCATTACCAGTTTTACTGTGTATTCTAAGCAAGCAGAGGATCATCTGTTCCACTTCTGTTAATTTCTAGTGTGCTTTAGTAATTCTGGTCTCAGGAAACTTCCTGTGAAATGCGGAAGCAGGCTGGCTGTTTTTGAGGTTTTTTGCTTTGAGCTGAAGCCAGGATCCCACAATCACGCGTGGCCCCTCCCGCCTTGCTTTCTGTAGGTGTTTTCCTTAGCTTTCAGGAAGTTCTATTTTGAAGTTAAATGCCGGTTTTTTTAACTTTCCCCTTTCCTCCAGAGTATTATTCTCAGAAGACTGATGACTTGAGCTAAAACTGTGCACATTCTAGGTGCACCTGGCTTTCTCCCTGCAATCACAGCCTTTGCGCTTCCCCACGTCCGCCAAGGGGCCTAGACCTCACAGAGTTGATTTGAACAGCTCTGCGGGCTGACTGGAGGTGAAGGAAAAGTGTGGGTGTGCTTTACATGCGGGTGAAGCTCCACCAGTGCTTGGTGAATCGCTAATAGGCACTAACTAGAACTCACTGGCTGTCTTTTGTCACGATGAGCTGTTTAAGATAGAGTTCCAGCCTGCTCTTCCGTGTGTGTAGCTAATGTGTTTACTAATGCTTGAGTTTTAACCTCCTGAGCATCAATGCTGTAAAACCTCATGTGTGTCAACATGTGCAGAATGAAATAAAGCGTGTGGAAGAGGCCCGTGTTCCTGGAATCTGTCTGCTTCCTGCTTGTGAGAACAGGCTGGGTCTCCCCGCGAGTCAGTGGAGGGTTCACAGGTGGACAGGCATTTCTCAGATGCAAGTGCCCCAGCATCCCAGCCCACCTGTTCCCTGCTTGGCGGGACCCCTGAGCCCTGCTGTCTGAGGCAGAGCTTGTCTTCCCAAGGGTACCTGTGCTGCCTGGGTCTGGTGATGCTGGTGTGGCCTTGGGATTGGGGGGAGGAGGATGTTTGGGACCCTGAGGGCCCAGCCAGGGGGCTTCCTGTGCCACCTGGGATTTGGGGAGCACTGGGGTACCAAAGACAATAGGGGGCAGCACCCTGCTTTCCCTTACGCTGGGGGTTCTGTGCTATGGGGGGGCGGCGCTCTGGCCACGGGTTCTGGCCCAGGCGTTGTACAGAGTGCTGAGCTGCAAGAGGAGCAGGGTGCAGGCGCAGGCTGTTCTAATGAGGCCGAGCTGGTGAGGGGTCCCTAGCAGTGAGCTCGGCAAGACATCCAAACCCAGAAAACACGGGGTTGCACCTCAGGTGCCTGCACCCTCCTGGCAGCGTTGGGAAGCACCCCTGAGCACCAGCTATGTGGCCTGGTCCCCAGTAAGTGGCAAATAGCAGAACAAGCTCAGCAGCTAAGCAGAAGAGGCCCAGTGGCAACTGCCACCAGCAGAGCCTGGCACAGGCACAGCATGGGTTCTGCTGCAAGCTGGGTGTCGGCCTGTGCAGGCCCGAGATCTCTCCACTGGAGGGGACAGCGCACTCCCAGAGAGGGGAGAGGTGGGTCCCAAAGAGGGACCAGGCTGTGACGCGCTGCTGCTGCATGTCACCATCGCCTGTGGTGAGCTTCTCTGAGCCTGATGGAGGCCCAGCCCCGCACTGGGGTGAGAGGGAGGGCAGGGGCTGTGTGGTTCAGCAGACCCAAGATGCAGACTTGGGCTGTGTTGGGTCACAGAGGACAGGGCTGCTCCTCTAATGGCGCTGTGTGTCCGGCAGTTCTGTGGCTCAGATCTGAGAGCAGAAGTGAAGCGCAGTGTTTAGGCATGCACAGGAAGTCCCCGGCGGGGTTGGGAGGGCAGCAAGGAGAAAGCCAAGTGCTGTGGGACTCTTGCTTCCCTGTGGTCTCATTTTCTTCTTGCTCACCCCAGGAGACGACACCTGACTGCATCTTCTCCTGGCAGCCCGAGTGCCACCAGCCTGTTCCATGCCCCATTCTGGGGTACATGAAGGTCTGTTGTGTGGTGTCCTGTGCTACCCTCGGCCTGTACACCCATTCCTTGAGCTTCATCCCATGTGAGTTCTGTGCTCACAAACACAGATGCCAAAGCCAAGAGAATGGGGTGACTGTGGTCCTTTGCAGATTGACGGGGATGAGCAGCCACTGTGGGACTGGTGGGGGCCAACAGCAGGCAGGCACAGGTTGTGGCAGTCATCGTCACGTGTGGTTCCTGTGGTCAGATCCTGAGCATGGGGATATCACAGTATTTGGTGGAAGTCATAGAGACGTCAGAAACCCAGAATTCTCTGATACAGAAGCCAAAAATTCTAACTTTTAGACCAGTTTTAGGGGTACAGAAACTGGGGGGGGGGACAGAGAGTTCCCTGCCTATCCCCAGCCACCTGCATGAGTTCCCAAAGAGGGGACCTCACAAAGCTGTGGATGCACAGGTGCATGGGTGTCAGTAGCAGCCACAGCACCTGTGGGCTCTGAACTGTACATTAAGTGATGGCTGAGTGCCCACAGATGTGTCAGGGCCTCTGCTGCAGCTGGGGGATCATCAGGTGCCTCGAGGGGGTGACAGGATGTACCCGCTGGGTCACCTGAGCTCTGGGACACACTCACAGACTCCCTGCACTGAGCCTGGCAGGAGCATTCAGTGGGTTTCAGAGACGTGGCTGGGGTCTTGGCCCCTGAGCCACCTGCCTGCCCTGGTGCCACTGTGGCCCCTGCACACCCGAGTTCCTCCCTCTCCTCGCCCTGAGGCAGTGCTGCATGGCTCAGGCCACCCCTCTGTGCTTCCTGGGGGCCTCAGGGAACCACAGTGTGAGAGTGGTCAGCTCTTCACAGGTGTTTTCACTCATAGTTCCTGGCAGAGTTTGGTAATGCCACTGTGCTTACCTTGGAGACTCAGTATTTCCTTCACCTACCAGTTAGATCTTTTGTGGAATGGTTGTCTTTGACTCAAGTGTCTATTCATTTTTCCCCTGATAATTTCCTACTTGGGGATTAATCTTAAACATCTTACCAGTGAAAATGTATCTGTCAACAGTAGTATATAATGGATAACTCTCATTGCCAAGTTTTCTTTCCCATTTTTTTTCTTTTTTCAATACAGGGAATTCAACCTAGGGCCTTTACGCTGAGCTACACCTCCAGCCCTTCCTTTTTCCTGAGACAAGGCCTTACTAAATCACTAAACTGCCCAGGTTGGGCTTGAATTTGTGATCCCCCTGCCTCAGCCTTCCAGAATGCTGGCCTGTGCCACCAGGAGTGACTGCCAGATCCGCTTATAAAAGGAAATGCTGTATTTTATAGAAGAAACTCCTTTCTGAACACGTTGCTTTAATTCATTCAGCTGAATAGACCTATGCTCCAGTCAGCCAGGAGGATGCCCACGGAGCCTGCGCCACACAGAACAGGGAGCCAGAGAGTGCTGGCAGACCCGGGAGCACTGGGGGCAGGCGCCTTTCCCAACATGTCGCCCTGGGCCTGAGAAAGTGATGCCACATGCAGGAACCATGGAGGGAGCCCAGCGAGATGCTAAACAGCACTGGGAGAGACCTCGTGGTCACGGCTGTGTCGGATCCTGGAGAAACTCACAGCACAGCTGTCCACGCGGACAGGGACAGCAAGTGTGAGGGTCACATAGACAGGCACAGGGTAGAGGCCAGCCTGAAAGGGGACCTCAGTTTTCACACTCAGAAGTGAGCACCACAGTGAAGTACAAGCCACCATCGAAAATGGGTGATTCAAAGAAAATTTTATGCCTTTCAAGAGCTGGCAAATAACACCATGCAATTTACTGAGCACATGGGGTCCACCCTTTGAGGGAGATTCTCATGATGATCCTCAGGGACATAATCCTCCTGAAATCCTACTTCCAGCTCGCACATGTTGTCTGCCCTGTTTCTTCCGTGTGTGCGCGTGGGTGTGTGTTTATAGAACTGGAGTTTGAACCAGGGCCTTTCTACTGAGCTGCACCCCCAGATGCTACTTTTATTTTGAGACAGGGCGCTAAGTCCCTAGGTTGTCCACACTGGGCTCAAGCTTGTGATCCCCCTGCCTCAGTCTCCCAGAGCACTGGGATTACAGGCCTGCTCCACACGGTGCACATGTTCTGGCATCCTCCTAGCCAAGGCCGGGTGCGTGGATGAGTTTCCAGAACTCTGGGAGAGATTAGGGAGCCCAGTTGCTTAGAAAGACCAGTGAGGACATTTTAAGCTCCTTTGTATGCTGAAAATTTGGTGTTAACCATCATTGTTCAGTCTGATTATCTCTTCCACTTTATAATCCGTAAAATCCTTAAAGCAGGGGCAGTATGGTCTTGCATGTGCAGTATAAGGGCAGAGACTGGCACATGGGGACAAGGAGCTGTCCCAGAAATGCACATTCTGCCTGGCGTGTGTGTTCTCAAAGGCAGAGGTTCAAGACAGCGGACGCCGTGGAGGAAAGCAGACAGCTCACTTCAAGCCAATGTGACGAGAACGTGCTCCTTGCGGTGGGGTCCACTGGGTCCCCTCTTGCTGCACAGTTGCCATGGCCTGGACATGTGACGGGACTGTGCCATTTTCCTGGGGCATGAGTGAGGCAGCCTCGCATGGTGGCCACGCACCTGCACACTGACCCTTGTGGGCGGTCTCTCCACTGTCACCCAGAGCAGCTTGGTGGCCATGGCTGGGAGCCAATGAGCCTGGGACAGGGTGGGTATTCAGTGGCCACAGCAGCTGGCCTAGGGCCCCTGTGACAGACCTACTGGGGCCGTTGCCCTATGGTGTCCTCTGCTTTCTTTCTGTCCCAGCCATTTCCTACTGAGGGTTTTGTCCACAGGCTCAGCCTCCCCCACAGCACCCCCTCCATCTCACTGCTCACAGATCGTCCTCTGTCCACCAGGAGCCAAGTGACAGGCAGAGACACCCATTGTCTTGCCTGGGCTGGGGATGGCCATATGGTCCATGGCACACAAGGGCCTTTTTTGTGCGCCATGTACTTCCTGTCACTGGCAGTGACATCTGGGAACAGTAGAGAGGCTCTGTGACCTCTGCCTGGTAGGGAAATGGTGGTTTGTCTATCCCCTGGCTTTGGTGGAAGCGGTCAGCTGCCCCCTCAGCACAGGCTGAGCTGTGGCGAGCCAAGGGTCGTCAGTGTCATGGCCCCTTCTCTGGCCTTAGCAGAGACTGGCTGTCCTGTCCCTTCCTTAGCCACCTTCTCATGTCTTGTCTCTGTCCCTGCCAGTTCTGGCTCTGTTTCCTTTCTGTTGCGAAAGGCTTCTTCAAGTACCTGTCCATTGGGTTTAATGCACCCATTAGGGGTCAGGACTCCAGGAAAGGAGGGGTACAGAAAAGCACTGGAAATCCTGACTCCAACCTCTTGCAAGGGTCCTGATGGCAGTGGGGAGCAGAGAGGAGCAAGACCCAAAAGCCACCCCCTCCCCAAGACCACGGCAGGGGCTGAACCCAGGTCAGCTGGCAGGTGGGCCATGACCCTCTTTGCCCACAGATGATGTGGACAGGATCAGCCTTGGAAAGCTGGCAGCCCTGGGGAGGCCTGGCAGCAGCAGGACAGCACTGGGAGGGGTGACCAGGCCCTGGAGGAGGCGGGAGTGCACTGGTCAGTTCTCTCCTCAGGACACATGGTTGGCTGATTCTCGCTGTGGCTGTTTCCTTGGGCAAGGCCAAGGTGACACCAGGTCCTGGCAGAGGGCTTGTACAGGGAGCCCATGACCCCCTACCCAGGGGGTGGGGCTCCCTGGGCTGAACTGAACCTATAA